AATTTTGAACGCTAATAACGAGTAAAATATTCATTAAGAGATATGACACATGACCACTTTTATGTCTTCACCCTGTCGATCTTTAATTAAGAACCAAAATTTAATAGTATTAATGCCCCTTTATACGCAAGCTACAGTGCCACATTTCATTTCTTAAACTTTACCCATTCTGAGATATTGTTTAATATCTCAGAACAGAAAATAAAGAAATTAAAGAAATTAGACACCATCACACACACGCATGAATTTTTCCTCTTTTATTGACATTTTTGAGAGGTTTGGGTGGTCTCCAAACGTGTAGATTTGCAAAAAAAGCCTGGAGAGTCAAATTTGACGCGATTCCAATACTTTCCCGTTTTATATACATAACAAGTTGGGAAGTAAAAAGGAGTCGGAGTCGGTGGATTTTTTGATGACTCCGACTCCGGTTAAAACATCAAAACTCCACAACTCTGATTCCATAGCCCTGCTTTTTACACATACCATTAATGTAGTTTAAAATATTCCTCTGTTTAACAAAAAATAAAATAAAAGCAACAAAATTAATTAATAGAACTGAATTGGACTTTTCCCATAGACTTACAAAAGGACTCAATATATGTCATTATTGATTGATTTTTGAAAAAAATTTTTATGCATGTTAGGTCTATAATATGTTGAAGTATATAGATTAAGGCAGTGTTTTTCAATCTGTGGGGCATGCAGCTTTTACCAAATTATCACTTTTTAATACAAACAAACTAACAAAAAAAAAAAAAAAAAGTCAAATTGATGTTGAAAAAATGAATCAGCAAAACAGTTATGCCTAATTCACAACCCTCACCTGAGTGACTTGGATATGAATGCTAAAAATCCATCCATACTCTTGCCGAAACCTCTCGACAAGACTCCAAGCCCTGGTGAAAAATATACTTTATTTTTTTTGAGATAAATGGGAAAATAGATTGGTATTAAAAAAAATGGCAAGAGCTTTGCTGTATTTCAAATGTTGGGTATGTTTTTACAATGAAAAATTTTCCAATTATCTGCATTCAGCAGAGTAAACAGTTGTAACTGAGTAAAGGTGTTTCAATCAGTATCTATTATGTAGTTACATCTGCTGAACAATGAGTGATGTATCATTGGAACAAGAATCATTGGTCAGTTGCAGATAGTGATAAGTAACATAAATGAAAGATGCTACTAAATATGATGTCAAAACATCAAGCATGTGCCAAAACAGCACTATTGTAGAGGGTGTTCAGCAGAAAAGTACTCAACAGTTTCAGAGCTGTTGTCTGTTGAATGCAGCCATTAACATAACATGGGCCAATGCCCCTCTTCAGTCCTTATTATATATAATGGTAAAACTATATAAGAAATTACATAATATATTAAAGTACAGTACATTAAGCCCTGTGACATCAGAAAAATCATCAATAACTATTCCAGTTTGCCTATGTATATGTTGCAGTCAAAACCAGTTTTTAGTTAGGATGCATTTTAACTAGTTGAAACTAGTTTATACTGGATGTCTTTGTTATAACTAGAATTTACTGCTAGTCAAAAATGAATCTGATGACAAAACCAGTTTTTACAAAATGGTTTAATAAAAACTATTTCGACCGAGGTCAAAGTTCATTCAGCTAACATGTGATAACGCTTACAGTCTCTAATTACAATAGTAGCCAGTCAAGAAGACCAAGAAGCTGCAGCTAGTACGAATGCAGAACCTCAAATAATACCAGCTAGTGACGAACATCCAGAATCTGTAGCTAATGCAAATCAACAGACCCAAATAATAGCAGCCAGAGAAAAAGCTCATCTAAACTTGGAATAACAGGCCCAGAGAATGAAATTGGCTTCGGATTCAATACACGCTCCTGTATAAATCGGTGATAACATATTTATACCAATCCCTGATGTCAACAGAGCAAAAGCAGATCTCCGTAATATTATCGGAGTGATTCTTCAAAAGGATGAACAAGGTTTGCATAAATTTGGAACAAAATATGGGATACTCGATAAATTGTATTACAAGTATGTATTGTTCAATTGTGTCACTGTTTAATGTATCTAACTATGCAGTTAATTTGTTAATATTTTGAAGTCTAATTATTATGAAAAAAATTTCCTCCTTTTTTGGGCACAATTTACCATAATTATTATTAATTAAAGATTCAATTTAAAATAAGTATGAACCTATTTGAAAACTTAAATGTACTTGATCAGGTCAGAATTCGACATGTCCAAAAAAAAATTCTTGCTACTAGAAGGAGTGCCAGAGACAAATGTATCTTTAAGAACTGCTGCCAGGAGAACAACCTTAGGAACAGGCCAAGGATTTGTTCGCTGTTTGTTTAAGAAGGCGTGTATGTCGAAGATGTGCTTTTGTAAGAAAAAAGGCAAACTTGTGTAACTCGAAATGCCATGACAGTTTGCTTTGCAATAACAAGTAATGTAGACTTAATTTTTATATTTCTGTTTCTTTATTGAATGATTATTTTTGTATGACTAATTAATATTACTGATGTTGTTTTAGAGTTAATTAATATTGCCGACATGGCTCTGTGATTTTCCTTTAAAATGTTCCTATAGTGTTTGATTATTTTTGTAATACTTTAATTAATATTGCCGACATGGCTCTGTGATTTTCTTCAAAAAATGTTTTTATAGTGTATGATTAATTTCGTATCACTTTAATTAATTTTAATAGCACAGATGTATGACAAATATTTTCAATAAATATTGTATTAAATAATACAAATGTTTTAATCCCAATCATGACTTTATTTATTTCCCCCAAACATATTTATGTAGCTAAAATTAGTTTTAACTAATGTTCAAAGTTGAAACTAGTTTTATCTAAAATCCAAACATGCACAGCAGTAAATTCTAGTTATAACTAGGAAATTCTAGATGTAACAAAGACATCCAGTATAAACTAGTTTCAACTAGTTAAAACGCATCCTAACTAAAAACTGGTTTTGACTGCAACATATGTAAAAAGAAATATATTTAATATGAACTGTACACTACATAAACAAAATTAAATTACATACAAGTGATATAACAGATCAAAACTTAGAAATTGAACATATATATTGCACATTTCAGTTAAACAACTATCCCAACAGAATTATTGACAAATGGCTACACAATTATACTATAAAACAAACAATACCTAAAACACCAATAATTTGTAAAAAACTAGATTACCCACCAGTAATTTTTGAAAAAATACAAAAAATATTAACACCATACAATATTATTCTAGTCCCCACAATGAACAACAAAATCAAAATTTCCTGAAAATCAGAGAATCAATTAATAGAAAATAGATGTAATAATTTGGTTTATATTTTCACTTGGACTTGTCAACCAGATTACTACTACATAACTATGTAGATAAGTGAAACAGATAGAATGTTAAAAGTCAGAATAAGAAAACATATATGAGCTGTGAAGTATAGTTACTAGGGTTTCTCATTTCCCGGTCTTTTGCTTGTCCCGGGATTCTGAGATAAAAGTGAACTGTTTCCTGGATCCCAGAATAGAATTAATTATTTTTAAGATATACAAAATATCTCGAAATCAAACAATATAATTATTTTTCATTTTTTAAAGTAATTTAATATGTTCTGCAACCTCCAAAATCATATTAATAATGCTGTGTAAGATATGTATTAAAAATTACCTTTGAATTACATAGAAATTTTCATAAATAGAAAAAATTTATTAAAGTTTGCTGGAAACTGCATACAACAACAACAAAAATACCTTTGAATTGAGTTGAAAAATTAAGGAATAAAATGAATTTAGATCAAACTTCTAAGTTAGAAGGTAATTTTCAATATTTAAATAAAACATAATACAAAATGTTATTGTAAATTTTTATAATAAGATTTTAAAAAGCAAAGATGGTGAATATTCCAATCACTCAATCTGATTCTTATTTTACTAAAGAAAAGTCTGCTACTGAGAATGCCCTTTCTGATTCAATTGATGTGGGTGGAATCGTGTTTAATGCATTTAAGAGAAGACAGATGTTATGTGTTTTTTCACCTGTAGCCTGGACGATTTCTAGTTCCTTTTGAAGATTGTAGTACTTCTTTTGATACTTTTGTTGATGGAAGTACTGGCTTATGTAAATCCAAAAGCAGCTCGAAAAATTATTTTTAGAAAATTTACCAACATATTACACTGTTGATGGTAGAAGATGCTGTGAAAGAACAAACCTAATCCTACAAAATTTTGATAAGCTATTATGAACACAAATATTCTATAGGCACTAGGGTTTCTTTAGTATTCTTGATTTGTCTACCTTGGCTGCGGCTGCTTTAATAGCGACATCGAGCTTATATCCTGATAATTCGGCAGTTTGTTTGGCTTTAATAATCAGGTTTATGAAGAAAAACTTCATACTTGCACTGGATACTTTGTACTCATTTGTATCCTTGTCCAATTTGCACAATCTGGTGTTATGCAGTTATTGAAGCTACTGGGCATGGTTAAAAATTAAGACAGCATAAGCACAATTATTCCATATATTACAGGTTCTGACAAGTAAAAAATTTTCAGAGTCCTGTCACAAATAGGCTACATATTGATTATTGACAATCTGTGACATGCCATAATGAGCAAAAAATTAAAAAACTAATAAGTAGGTTTAAAATTAATAAATACAAATATATTCTGATAGTTTATGAGTTAATTATACTTTCTAATTGCAAAATTTCCTCATCCTTAACACAAAATAAGAAAAAAGTGAACTTTTAAGAAATTTCAGGGATTTCCCAGGATGAGAAGAATTTCTTGGATTAAAAAAAATCAGGGATTCCGTTTGAGAAACCCTAACGATTACACTAACTCAGCAGTCACCACATACAGGTTGCAAGATCTCACTTGAGTGTCAAAGTTCTTGAAAAAGAAAAAATTATTATTAAAAGAAAACTTTTTGAACATATAGAAATTATTAAAATAAACAAAAGTAACAGAATGAATTTAAACAATGGTATTGTTATCAGTGAGATCTGGCAACTATTACTACCAAAATAAGAAGAGTCCATTTTTAAGATGTTCTTCTGCCCCCTCCTCCTTTTTAATTCACTATACCATATATCAATCAGACTTCCTGATAAACATATAGTGAAGCACTTTATTCCTTGTTACCCTTGTTGCCTGAAATGAATTTCCTTTCATAAAAAACAAAAATAAAATCTAATATCGGAAAAAGCGTTCCTGCATGATAAGTTCTCTGTAGCAATTTTGTGCTTCATTCCAAATGGTAAAATTATGTTACAATTATCAATTATGGTATGCTCAAATTAATTATTGGAATCTGTCTGTAAATTATGGTGTAGATTGATAATTTGTTACGGTTGGTATCATTGAGGAGAGTAAAAAAGAAAATTTTTTAACACAGTAAAAACGTATAGCAAAAAAGACTGGAAAAAAACGAAAGGTAATTGTTTATAAACTGTAAACCACATCGAAAAAATAAACTAAATCCAAAAATAAAAGACTACAAAGATAACACTGCATGGGAGTAATGCGTGCAGGGAAACTAAAATTTGGGACGTCCAAACCCTCATTCAGAACTGCAACTTGACTCTTTGGACTTTATTAATCGTCGAGGGGGGTCGACACTGTGGGGGGTTCCGCCCCCTCAGGCAACACTTGATTCTTACCGTTTGCTCCATAAACTGATTTTATCTTATTGATACGCAGGATATATTAACCTTATTTTTTTTAATGAACTTATAACATACCTTCCGCATTAATATACTGATATAACGCCAAACATACAAACACGTGGTTAAATTTTTTATTTGAAAATAATCATCTACCACAAGGCGGCGCCACGCACACCACATATTCATGACATAATTTAAAATATATGAATTAATTTGCGAACTCTACGAGAATTAATATTTTTTAAATGAACAATTACGATTTAAAAAATATTAATTCATTAAAATTAATTAACATTAAAATAAATATTCGAAGTATTTTGTTTAAAATATTTTAATCCGACATATTTGTTTATATTTAAAACGTATATTTATAATGTATATCGGTACAGAATGTAAACTTTCTAGATAAATCGGTCAACGTATTTTTTTTATTTTAGTTTTTCTTTAAGAAAAATACATTAATAACTCTGCGGGATTGTCAACGAATGGCATTCGCGTGTTTCACGTAAATGATCGAAGGTGTTTGTCAACATAGCGAAGATAATGAACTGTAAACATTACTTAAGTTGATGCATTACATTTGATAAACTCGAAATTAAGATGAAAAGAACAAGATTCTTATTGTTTAGATGTGAACTGGTTTTTATTTGGTTGGAAATAGTATGCGGCGAATCCGTAGGTCCTTTGAAGCTCGTAAGCAAGAATTTAATGGAATCCAAACAGGACTATTGTTTAAAAGAAGCCGAATGCCGTGAATTAAATAACTTCACTTGCTTAGGGATGACGTTGCCTTATACAAAAACATCCAACCATTTTACCAGCTTAAACCAAAACGATACTCAGGTACATTTTCAAAGTATTTTCATTCATTCAAAATAGTTTGTAATTTACTTTAAGAGCATTACGTGAATGATGTGGTGGGGATCTTATCAGAGCTGTAGGGTCTACACTGGTCCATCATGGTGTGGGATGTAGGGGTCTGCAATACAAAAAACGTTGAGAACCACTGTCTACAGGAGACCATGCCCATAGGAGTAAAAGAGTGAAAAGAATTGATGGTCTACATGTGATCAATTGTCTAGGGCAGGGGTCGCCAAACTTTTTTGATCGTCGACCCCCTACAACTTTTCAAAACCTCACATTGACCCCCACCAAAAAGTTTGTGTTACAAGCAAAAAAAGCTCTTACTATTTTTATATATATCTTTTAATTTTACATTTTTTATGTTTATTGTACATATGTTAATAATAATTTTTGTAACTGACAATCAATAAGACGGATAAGCTTGATAATCCTTAGCAAGATTAGCAATATTCGGTTCAAAATTTCTAAGTTTTAGTCTTTTTATCAACCCCCCCAATAATGTTATATCAACCCCCAGGGGTCGATATAGACCACTTTGGCGACCCCTGGTCTAGGGGATCCAAACCAGTGGTACCCCCTGAAGTAAAATGAAAAGAAACAGTATTAAATTTTCTTAATTAAAATTTATTATTTTATTTATAATGTGTTGTGTAATTCTATATTACTTATTAGCGGTCACTTGGGTTGGGAATTTTATTGAGTTTGCGTTAAAATTTCTTTTATCCATTCAACTCTGCTCCCCCTTGAGTGTGCCACTGCATTCAGAACTGAAATTTTACCATATGTAGAATGTTTCTTTATGAATAAAAAGTAGTTTATTTTTGTTAGTAAAAATTAAAATAATTTATAGGAATAGGGACCATTATGGGCATCTAAGTTTTCTTCGGCCTTTGGGAAAAATCTCCAGCTCTTCATCTCAGTGGCCTGGTTTACATAATAAATGGATACATCAGTTTGCAGATTTAATCAACAATATAATTTTGATTAATTTAAGTGAAAATATAGGGAACTATGCAAATAAAATTTTCATAATATCAATATAAAACATGCCAATTTGAATGTTAATGTTTTTAAAACTTTAAATCTCATGAGTTTAATGTGATTAATTATGTAGTAATTTGAAATTGGATTCCATTTTTTCTCACATGATAGTGCCTTGCATGTGTTTTAACTATAAGTTTTATAATAAAGATGACATACTGACCATTGTCGTAATTTAGTTGAATTACTTAATGCACCTTTAATCCATAGTCTTTGTATCAGTTACCCATATTAAACAACCACCTGTGTAACGCGACCACAGGCACATTTAATAGTAAGAGTTTTTAAAAAAGGGTGCTAGCATTTTCAATCAAATTTGTAGGCTGTCCACACATGAGGATAGCCTATTAAAAAATTCTTATTGTTAAGGTGCTTTAAATAATTCAGTATAGTTTTTATATTTAAATCTGAATTTTTAAGGACAAAGTTACTTTTAGGCAGGTCTGCAGAGCCGGTAAAAAAACACTCGACTCTGACTCCGGCTCCTGATAATTTTAGTAGGCCAACTCCGACTCCCAACTATGGCAAAATTAAATACCAAGTCATTTTATGGGGGCAGAGGTGCTCATAGAGGGTTACCCTACTCTGAACTCTAAAAGGAGCCCTGGGCATTTACCAAAATACTTTATAGTTAGTATTTTTAATATTTAACTTATATTAATATTTATTTGTATAAAAAAATTAATTGTTAACAAATATTTAAAATGAGAAAAAAGGGAAAGCGATAAAATTTTGCATCTACATATCTTTATTCTACAGCTTTTGCACTTCAATTGCACCTTTCCAGAAAAGTGAATCCAACTAAAAAGTGTGCAATCTAGCTACTTCAGCCACTTATTCAGAAAAGAAAAATATGTACTCTGATCAATTAGTCTGGCTCATTCAGAAAAATAGAGTACTTATTTAGAGCAGGGATAATAAAGGAATGATTCAAAAATATTCAAATTCAATTGGGTCAAAATAATTTAACTACTAAACACAAATACTACAAAGAAAACTATTAATACATATTTAATAAATTAAATCGTTGCATTTTGTATTTAAAATAAATGAATTATAACAAAATACAAAAACATTTAAAAAATTATTAAATATAAAATAAATTTTCTTTCATTTAAATAAAAAAAAAACTAAATTAAATTTAAAATGCTGGAGTCGGAGTCAGGAAAAATGTGTTGACTCCAACTCCAGCATTTTAAATTTAATTTAGTTTCTTTTTTCTCCTCTGACTCCTCTGACCAGAAATTCTTCCCAACTCCACAGCCCTGCTTTTAGGGCATTTATATAAGCTATAAGCTACACATAAAAATGAATGTCTTAAATATAACTTTTACCAACACAATATATCACTGAAAAAATTATAAAAATATGCACAGTTGATGGTTTAAAAGTATTTGGTAATTTAAAATAGACCATAAATTGTTTGGTTGTAGGTAAATGTGAAAGAAATAAAATATTCATATAACTGGTTGTAATATATAACTGTGAGCTAAATCTTTAATATCTGGCAAATATTTTCAACTTGTTAGGTTCAGATATATATTCTAGAACTTAAAAGCACAACAAACCATAACACACTAGCAAAATTTTGTTTAATTACTAATGCTTTTGACCTTGTCTAAAGGCTATCTTTGTACTTTACAACATGGAATGTAAGAAGTGGTCAAGAATCAGTCAAAAACACTAGTTATTAAAAAGATTTTTTGGAATTATTGGATTGTTATGGTTTGTTGTGCTTTTGGATTTTAAAGCTATCTAGTTGCTGATATTATTATGAAATTCTAGAACATTGTTCAAAGTGTTAAGTTATATGGTGTAAAGGTTTAGTTTGCAATTAAATGTGAAACTTTGAAAATACTGAGAACATTCATAACAATCTGTAATGAATGAAAAATGTATATGCATGAGGAAAATAAACAAGAAAAAATATAACTTGCAACATCAAGCTGAATATGAAATGAATGCTGTTTTAGAAAATTTAATTTTTCAGTTTAAGGATTTTGTTGTTCCGACTAGATTAACTTTTCTTTGTATTTAATTATATATTATTTTCATTACTGCTTACTTTACTACAAAAATGATTCCTAATTTAATAGAAAATCTATATAGTCTTTTATTTTTCATACATCTGATAGAAAATAAATCATTCTTAATTAACCACTACACACAACACCAATATCCAGCAAGAAACTAGAAAAATCTACAATAGCAAATGTTTTTGCCTGTGTTGAATGGTCATATTCAGACTAACTGATCTTTGCAGTTTGAATGCAACTGTTAAAGAAAAAAAACGGTTCAAACAGAAGAATTCTAAGGAATAGTGAATGATGTCCACATGCTAAAAAGAGGAGTGACATAAGAGATGGAGGAGGAGAAGGTTGTAAGACTAAATATGATAGACTGATTTCCACATCTCTAAGGTTAATAGCCGCAAATTTTTCTCACAACTTTGTAAATTTCTAACTGTTCTAAATATTTAAGCTGTTCTTTGTGGGAGGTGCTATGTAGGAGGAGTATTCGATTGAACTGTACCTCTATGTCAGGATCAGTGACAAAGGTTGCTAATGCTGTAGTGGCAAGCCCTTTGCCACTGATCTAACATTGAGGTAGTTTGACCAAAGATGCCTTCTACATAGCATACATATATATCCTCATGCTCATAACCCAAAAAGGGTGAGCAGCAGGCAAAATGATACTACAATCTTACAAACTATCCATTCAGCAACTTTCTCCATCTTCCTGTCCAGACACACTTCCTTTCCTTCAGACACGTTCATGCCTCTTCTAGAACTTCTTCACGATCTCTTTCTGACTCAACATCTTATGTTCTTTCGAATACTCATCCACTTGTTCCAACTAAGACTTTCTTGACCTTTCCCTGCTGCACTTCTCATCCACCTTTCCCATGTATAGCCCTTCAACAGTTCTTGCATTCTTTCAACATGGCCAAATCAGTGTAAGGCTGATTTTTTCACCTTATCAACTACATTCTCTTTCACTCCATACTCTTCCAGCACTTGTTTATTTCTCTCATAGTTTCTTCTTGATATGCCACACAATTCTCAAATATCTCATCTCACTTGCAGCAATGTGACTCCTGTGACTCTTCTGCCATACCTAAGTTTCACTACCATGCATGAGCACAAGAATCACAACACTCCCATACACAGCCATTCAAGTTTCTTTGGACATTATTTTATTCCTTGCAAATCTACTAGTGAATGCTGGAGCATAGGTGATGGGTGCAATATCACTACCTGTGCTCCATCATTTACTCTTCTGGTGATCTCACCATCTATCCTTCCATTCCTACAAATCATGCTTTCCAAATATACAAACTCATTCACTTGTTCCAGTTATTCACCATCCAGCTCATTCATGGAATCCATTTGTTCATCTTTGCATTCAAACACATTACTCACATTCATTTGCAGCATATATTTCTCAAACACTTCTTCATGATTTTACATAGTGTCTGAAGCTCTTCCTTGCTCTCTGCTAATAGCACATTGTCATTTGCATGCAACAAACAAAAAACTTGTTCATTTCCAATTCTCATTCCACACTCAGGATTCTGGATTTCCTCATGCATGCATCCATGAAAACATTAAACAACTATTGGGACATAACACATCCTTGTCTTACACTCTCCTCAATTGCGAACCATTCAGATACATTACCATCCATTCATACATATGCTTTGCTGTTAATAAGTCACATCTTCCACATTATTTCCAACAGAAAACTTTAATAAAATTTTAACAAAACAAACATTTTCAGCCTTATTAAGTGGCCTGCTTTGGGTTCTAACAGTTTGAAATCAAATATCTAAATAAAATACAAAATTGGAACATTTTCAATGTTCTTATGATAACATTATTTTCAAAGTATATTTTTTATGTACTTTAATCCATATAAAGAATTTCACATTGCAAGTAGATAAAATTTTTTATGAAAGTTGTTAAAACAAACAACTTTCATAAAAAATTTTATGGAAATATATATTTAAATAAATATAAATANTTGGAAGGGAAAGAGTATAAATATAAATAAATATACAATATAAAATAAGAATAAAGTAAATATGTGTATATGTGCTTAACCAGAAATATTTATTTAAAAAATTTTTAATGTAAGTGATTGAAATACACAACCTTTAAGTTCCATCAATGTATTTATTTAAAAAATAAACCAAAATGTTAATGCTTTCTGTCATTTTAAATGACCATCTTCAGGCATTTTCTAAGAATAACAAAATCAAACATCAGTTTGGATTACAATTCAAACTACAGTTTTTTTTACATTGATGTTGGCCAAAACTCCATTGATGTTTGTGAGGATTATATATAACTAATTAATATTATTAAATTAATTTCTTGTTTTACTTCAATATACACTCATTGCCATAAAAATCAGTGCTTAAAGGTGTTGTCACTGTGAAACTTGGCATGCAGTAAGTCTCAAGCAGATATAGAGATTAGAGTTATAGCGTGATGGTTCATTGCATAATGCTAGCAGAGGGTGTTAAAGTGGCCTATAAAAAAGTGCAAAAAGGCATCTTGTCTGTAGTTTACCCTGTTGCAGAGAGACGCTGTATCACTAGAGATGCCTTTACATTGCAATCGAAGATCATATGAACAACTAACTGAAGTTTGAGAGGGGAAGGATCATTGGGTTGAGAGAAGCAGATGGTCATATTGCCAAATAGCCTGCCACCTAGGCCATTCTGACAACACTGTGAAGAGGTGTTGGGACCAATGGATGAGAGAGAGCTTGCACACGCTCAGGATTCCCTTGTCAGACCACTAGCCAAGAGGACTGCCTGGTCCTCCGACAGCATACACATGATCGACTGTATTACTGTCTGCTATCCAGACACAGGCGTGCCATCATTACAGGCCCGTGTCTGTCCATATCATTTTGAGGATTCTGGATAAATAACATTTGGTATTGCAGTGGCCATTACATGTGCAGCCATTCACATCATCCATTGTTGCCTTTGTTTCAAGTGGTGTCACTACTGATGGGATTAGACTGCAATGGAATAGAAGTGGGTTGCGTACAGTGACAAATCCAGATTCAGTTTGGGCACTGACAATGGCCTTGTAGTGAATGCCTCAGTTTTGCCTATGCTTGGGAGTGGCACACTGCCCCCACAGCTGGAGTGCCATTGCATATGACAACCAGTAACCTCTAGTGGTGATCCAAGGGACCATGACAGCTCAGTGATATGTTAGTGACATCCTGCAGCCACATGTGTTGCCTGTCATGGCAGGGTTTCCACAAACAGCAAAGGTATCACAGGACGACCTCTGCCACATTGCCATACTTTCCTGGCCTGTCCAGTCCCCTGATTTGTCACTGATCAAACATGTCTGGGATCATCTGGGATGCCAAGTTGGACAGCCTAGGACTTTGAACTAGAAGACTGCTTGCAGCAACTGTGGGTTGAGATGCCATAGGACACCATACGGCACCTGTATGCCTTCATGTTAGCCCACATTACATCATTTATTCATGCTAAAGGTGGCCCAACAGGGTACTAGAACCTTCTCTTATTTGTAGTTTTTCCTGCAATAAATGATCCTTTTGCTTTCATTTTATAATCACTTACTTATATCACCATTACACTCAAATACGTACAATTTTGTTCAGTTCTGACTTCTTGGTGTGCTAATTTTTATGTCAATAAGTGTATAATAAAATGGAGTTCTTATCTATTCAATAGAGTTCATATTTAAAATATCTTAATCATTTTCATAACATATTCCATCAAAGCATACAGAAAATTTACATACAACCTTCTTCACATACCTAAAACATCTCATAACCCAATCCAATTCAAGTAGGTGGCCTTCCAATTGTCCATTAGAAGGGCATCTATTCATTGATCTAAATTGATAGAGAGAGAGAGAGAGAGAGAGCTTGTATACATCATCAGAGTTGCAATAGAGCATAAGTATATGCTAGCACCGTAAGAAAATTAATATGAAAATATTCAAATGCACAATGTAATGATAGGCAGACAGAGAGTGACAATGAGTCTTAGTAGTGCCTAGCTTAAACCATACTTAAATGGATAATTAAGACCATCCAAGTACAGTAGACCCCCCTATAATTACGGTCCCTATAAAACTGCGAAAAAATTGCGACCGTATCCGTAAAAACCTGTAAAAAACTCCTATAATTACGTAAAACGTCATTGGGCAGCTGAACTACTTTCCCGCCATCCGTAGCGCCACGCTATGGAGAGATTACTATCGTCTGTACAGTATTATTTATAAATTATATATAAATTAGGTACTGTACATATAATTATATATTAAGTATATATAATTATATATTAACTTATTGTAACTTTATTATAATTAAATATATAATTTCCGCCGTCTAGCGTGGCGCCACGCTACGGAGATTTTTACGCTAACTATCGTCTGTCAGTATGTAAATTAGGTACCGTAAGTCTAATACAGTACTGTAATTTTATACATTTCTTGTGAAAGAAACATTTCTTATTCAACGGCGATTAAAATTATTTATATTAATGATGTCTCCAAAGTTCTACGAAGTTTTCACAGAAAAATAAGTTGTTAGAAATCGGCCGCTATTTGCTGAGCTGTTCCGCGACAAAAACAAGCTTTAGCAATGGGGATGTCTAATAGTGCACACTCGGTAAGTAATTTTACAATTTTTTGTTTATAGTGTAGTTTATATGGATTATTTGCAAAAAAAATATATGTATTTTGGAAATGTGGAGTCGGATTAGTCTAGAATCGATTAATTTTATGGAAGAAAACCTTTCAATCAGCCGTAGTCCGTAAACTTCACACGTGTCGGGCTGTGATTGGAACGACTTGTAAGAAATCGGATTCCTAAAAAATGGAACGTATCTATGATCTTATAGGGGGGTCGACTGTAACTGCATCAGCTACAGAATAAGCCCAACAATTTTTAAACTACTTACAAATGACAAAGAACCACTAAATCCAAAAAGAGTCTGTGCATATACTGTAACTCTATTCTACTAATGTTTGATTTTGTTGTTGTTAGTACTTGCCTGAAGATGGTCATTTTAAATGATCAAAAACAGTAGCATTTTAGTTTTTTCTTTTTTGTTTTTTTTTTAAATGTGTTACTAGAATTTAAAGGTTATATATTATTATTGTTATAATTATCATTTTTTAAAATCTTATTTTATTCAATTTGTTTGATATTATGGATTTGTTTATTTTGTTGCGATGATACATATTTTTATGTCAATTTGACATTATTACTTCAATTTTACAATGAAAAATTTTAAAGAATGACATCAAATTTATGAAGAAATTTGCACTATCCCAACCAATTGAACAGATCTTACATTTTGAAAGAACTTCTTTTTAATTGTTACTACCATAATTATCAACTACATAGAGTTTATATATTTAGATTTTATTAACTGATATTTTTGTAATAAATTTCTTTCAGGACATTCTTAATAAATGGAAAGTACTTCAAAGTGTTCCTAAATGCTGGTCTGTTATTCAACCATTATTATGTGCTATATATATGCCAAAGTGTGAAAATGGTTTTGTTACACTTCCTAGCCAAGAAATGTGCAACATTACTAGAGGACCATGTAGAGTTGTTGCCAAAGAACAAAAGTGGCCAAATTATTTATTATGTGAAAATGATGATTTATTTCCATCTGGATGTAAGGTATTTAGCAAAATCATAATATTTCTTACATTCTAATGAAAGTTGTAATAAGATAAAAGAAATTTATTTATTAATATAATAATAATAATAAAAAACATCACTTTTATTAACAAATGCAATAAGATTGCTTATATAATAGACATCTCTATTCCAAACATTGATAACACGAAAAATGCTCATAATAAAAAAATCAAGTACATTTCACTCACCCAAGAAATAAAACTACTGGATAGGGTATTTATTGTGCCCATTGTCTTCTCTTCCACTGGTGTCATACCATAAATACTACACAAAAGTATAGAAATATTAAACTTTAATAAAAACATATATATGGCACTACAGAAGGCTGCAGTATTGAACACATGTCACATTGTTAGGAATTTTCTAGATATGGACACATACACCAATAACCCAGAATCTTAATGTTATACTTGTTTGGTTAGCTATACCTTGACTTTAGTCTGGCATAACACTTGGCACCAGTAGCAGCTGAGCATGACATTCACAACATGAATAAAATCCAAATTATACCAATAGTTCTCTCTGTCATATAAGTTATCCCACATTTATTACATAAAAGCCTGAAGACAATAGACATTCACTCAAATTTATATAGATCTTTACAAAATGTTATCATTCTGACAACCTGTCATATTGACAGGAAATTTCTCCAAACTATTTAAGGTTTCATACTAGTCTCACAGGCTTTGCTCTTGGACCTGCCTTGAGGTTGATATCAGACACAATCTGAGAATGATACACAATAAAAATAATAATGACTTCATTGAGAGAAAGGAAGCAAAGAGTGATGCACAAGTAGCATTTGATCTTGTTTCAAGAAACACTCACTAAATGTATTGGATTAGACCTCATACAGAGACCACAAATATCCAAAATACACATATCAAAACAAGAGGAGAAAACTCTATATAAATATCAATTCTACACATATTACCAAAACACATTCAATCAGAATCAACACTTTCAGACATACATACATACATACATACATACATACATACATACATACTACCATATATGTTTTTTACTTTTATATATCTTTTCGCCATGTATGCATTTTTACATTATAGCTTTTCCTTTTTATCTTTGTTATATTGTAATTTTACTCATTTTTCTGAGCTTGTTGTTTAAAAGGGATGGAAATCAACTGCCTGATAGAATTTCCAAGAGTAAATATAATAAATAAATTTCTGTAAATATTATACTTAGGAAGTTGAGGTGCAAATTTTTTTTTAAAAAAGGATTTAAATAATGATAGATTTTTGCGAAAAAGTATTCCTAAAATCATAAAAATAAAACCGTCATTTTATTATGCAAAAAAGTATACATAGATCACATAAAAATCAATAAAATGAGAAAATTCAAATCATTTAGTCACTTTAAGAATCTGATCCATCAGTTTCACAGTTTACAAACAGAAAAGTATCGTAAACACACAGTTGTTCTACATTTACTGTGGTCAGCTGCGGATGATGCAAGGAAAGTAAATATTTGAACAGCAAAAATAATTTTTCAATATCAACAGATATGAGAGGAGCATATTTGGTTTTCACTAAAATTTCAGGTTTTGAAACTGAAGAGACTTAGAAATTGTAGTTTGAATGACTGGATTTTTGCACAGGGAGTATTACAGTTTCTCTAAAACAAAGTCATCCAACTAGTTTTTAGTGTGTAAAAATTTCCCACTGAAACTCAGTAGACAGGCCACCTTCCTCAAGCTTAAAAACTAAACTGCACAGGGACTTGTATGAATTCCTGTGCAGTCCATTTATACAAATCCTGTACAATGCAAAACAAGAAGCAATGTGAACACAGTTTTTTGTTTCAACAGACTCTTGAATTTCATTGTGCCACTGAAGAATTTTCATCCACTTTATCAATGAATGCTCCCATGGATGAGTAATTTTTGGTATAAAAAGAAGCCACTTGAGTCCACATGCCTCACCTGATTTCTTACAGGATGTTTTGGAAGTGGCAATCTCTTTATATAGATGTACAGTACATTTACAGGATATTTAATCAAAGTTTTGTTTTTCATTTCCAAAATGAAATTGTTGGTCCAAGAAAATTGTAACCTAATTACTTCATATACTCTTTTAAGACAATGGTCAAGACAAGTGACATGTCTCAGATTCTGACATCTCAACTTGTATTTGAGCATGCACTTAGCATATATGATGCCTGGTCTGTTACAAGTAACCAAACTTTTTCATACAGAATGCAGAGTTCCACAATTTGGCACATGCATCATTGAAGGCCTGCAAAGCATCTGTGGAATTTGCCTTTTTTAATTTGTAAACTCTTAACAGCATGGGTTGTACTGGTTCCTCTATTAATTAATGGACCAATGAGGATGTTTAGCATGTATCTTTTTAACATATCCATTGTTTATCCAAAATAAAAAAAACTGGGTTGTTTCTTACTATTTCCTGTATATTTTTGAAAATTGTTTCATATGCAAGCTATACATAGGTTTTCCTTAGCATGCTTTGGTCAGGGATTGAGTGCTTGGTTTACTTTTCTAGAAAGTTTTGAATACTGGACAATTTACTTTAAGAGCAATCTCTGACCAAAGCTGTAGCTAGGTCACTTGAAAATTCATTCTTCTTGCTTGTATTGTTCTTTGCAGAATTTAATGATTCTGAAATAAAACTGTATTTTTTTTGTTGTTCTTTCTTTCCCTGTAGGAAATATGTTTTGCATATTTAATGTGCTACTTAACTTGTGATGAGAAATGCTTTTCATCCAAATTTATGGTAACATCACACACCTCACATCTCAAAATACTATCATTGGTCATAATTCTTTTGTCTTAAAATTATTTACAAACTTCTTTAGTTTTTGATTTTGGCATTTTTAAACCAGTAAGGACTATTTCACACTATGACCGAATGGTCTGACTTCAAGTTGTGTTGCCATGGCAACAGCAGTCAGTTGACCAATTGGTCATTCCAGTCAGACAGATTTAAAAATTTAAATATTTGTAGTTGGGTCGTAGCAGTCAGTGAAATATAGCCAATCAGGATTTTGATTTATCCAATCCATATGTCACAGCTAGAAAATGGCAGAAGGTACAAACTTCTCAGAAGCCGCAAGATGATAAATAGTAGCATATTCAGAACTACAATTTCTGGATACAAATTAAATATATTTTAAAACAACTCAAAATGCACGATCACTTTCCATAACGGCCATGTTTTGTGTTTATATTGAAAAACTTACAATATTTGGCTAGTGTTTTGATCTGTAACATGCATTCCAATTGGTCCTTATGAATCAGCCACCGACATATAATCAAACTCAATCTGAATGCTTTTGTGGGAATCCAGGGTTAAGAGAGGATTTTCTTTAACCTGTATTCAGCCATGGGCAGATCTTTCGGATCTGCCCATGGGGTCATTGGATGGGATTTTAGTTGAAATTTATTTAAGAACAGGAAGCTCTTATGATCTTCTTGTTGATTTTTCCTGACACCAGCCTAATTAGAGCATTAGGCACGCTATTTAGTAAATTATTACTTTCTTGAGAGGAGGAATTGTAGATCTGTGATAAGTGTTTGACAGACAATCGAAATCAAGAACGAAACAAAACAAAATTTAATAAGAATGAAAATAAAATAAAATTTGAATACATAAGGAAATTCTAAGTCCCTATCTGGATGTGAGAGAAAGAGTTTACATCAATTTAAATTATACTACCTTGTTTGAAGGTCTGAGCTTCAAAGTCGTTGCTCGTCAGGTGATCGTATCTTCTGCTCCAGCAGTATCATGATGAATGGGAAACTGGACAGGCGATGGTTTGGTGAAGGATGACTTTGGGGTTGAGCACCAAGGAAAATCGGATGAGAACTTCCCGGAATCGTGGAAAATTACACTTTTTATTCGTAAGTCTCTTCCAATAGAAATTATGGATTTATGTCAGCTGACAGGACGTATAGATGGGTTAGATATCCAGATGTTTGTTAAAATTAGAGACAAGTTTATGTGAAAGGAAGTTTGATTTCCCCTTTTGGCACAAAAGTGACAGATGTGTCGTCTGTTAATGAAAACAATATGTAAAAGATACGAGGCATGTCCGGAAAGTAAGTACCATTTTGGAAAAACTCACATAAAAAATCTTTTTTCAAAACGAAATTTATTTTTACATGAAAGAGCATGTCGGAAACTATTTTTCTACATAGTTACCACCATTGTTCAGACATTTGTCATATCGGGAAACCAACTTGTCTATATCCTCTTCAAAGAAAGATGCCACCAGTGAAGACAGCTACTGCTGAACATTGATTGTTGCGTGTTCATCGCTGGCAAAGCGCCTCCCTCCAAAATAACACTTCAAGTTCAAGAACAAATGGTAGTCTGCAGGTGTGAGGTTGGGGCTGTATGGCGGGTGATTGAACTGCTCCAAACCAAATTGTTGAATAAGGTTTTGAGTGACACCAGCAATATGGGGACGTGCATTGTCGTGAAGCAACACAATGCCTTTACTGAGATTTCCATGTCTTTTGTTTTGAATTGCATGGCAAAGTTTTCGCAATGTTTCACAGTATCGTTCCGCATTGATGGTGTCACCTTTGGGAAGGAACTCAACAAGCAGAACGCCCTGTCTGTCCCAGAACACAGTGCACATGATTTTTCATGCTGACAATGTTGTTTTGAATTTGTGTCTTGTGGGGGACAATGAGTGTCTCCACTCCATCGACTGTTGTTTTGATTCTGGAGTGACATGACAAACTCACGTATCATCACCGGTAACAATTTTGTTTAGGAAATCTTTACCCTCTTCACTGTATTGGGTAAGAAATGTCAAAGCACTTCCAAGTCGCTTTGTTTTGTGGACATCCATAAGCATTTTGGGAACCCAATGGGAACACAATTTGCGATAATTTAAGCGATTTGTGACAGTCTCATGCAAAACAGTTTTTGAAATTTGTGGAAACTCATCACAAAGCAATCTTATTGTGAACTGTCTGTTTTCAAGAATTTTCTCATTCACTTTTGCAACCAAACCATCATTGACAACAGAAGGCCGGCCACTCTGTGCTTTGTCATGAACATTTGTGCATCCAGCATTGAATTGTCGAACCCACTTTCTCACCATTCCATCACTCATTACATTTTCACCATAAATCTCTACAAGTTGATGATGAATTTCAACTGGCTTAACATTCTTTGTGTTCAAAAACTGTATTACAGAACGCACTTCACAGAAGTCAGCAGGATCGGCAATCGTCTTAAACATTTAAACGCTCACTAACACGTGGTAAAACAACACAATCCGGCTCTAATGGCATCACTGGACTGACAATCAACCAGAGACACGTGTGCTCAGGCGCAGAACTGCGATACTACTGCTGCGGTGGCGGTAGAACGAAATGATATTTACTTTCCGGACATGCCTCGTATATATAATTTACCACTTTAATTTAATAAATATTTGGAAGGGAAAGAGTTCTTATAACAGTTTGTGATTGAAAAATGGTTTGGATTAAGATCTAGATTAGGGCCGTTTTCTAGATTGATTAAATGAAATGTAGAGTTTAATAAATTTTATAATTTCTGTTCTGATTCTCACATTTTTACTACTAGTCAGTCTGATTATAGGATTGGTCAGGTGGGACCAGTTGGTCATAATGAAATAGCCTTAAGCTGTCATTTCATTACTACTCACTACATCTCTTCCTCACTTTCATGAACAATGGAATAAATCTTGTTGTTGTGATGTTCAATATCAGGAATACTGTAATTGATACAGATGATATGATTTTGTACAATAATCAATAACAGACAATCTATATTATCAAAATATTGGTTACTGTTTGATAAAATTCTATATCAATAACAATACAATAAATTATAGTATTTAAACAGTTTTATTTCGATGTTACTGTGTTTGTTCTGTTTCTAAGATCTGAAAATCCTGTGTGTTTCATTTATTCAAAATTTAAAAAACTAAGAAACACATTATGTGTAAACACTTACAATATGATAAACTGGCACAGAACCTTATCAGAAAGTAGAGATATAAAACAGAGATTTCCTATTTTTATACTGTTTATAAAATTGTTAGTCAATTGATTTTTTTCTAACCAATCACAGCAAGAAATTAAAAATTTTGGGACGGATTAATTTTCAAACTCAAATTTTAGATTGTTTATAGTTAAAATTTGTCTACCAATCAAAAGCCTAATTTCAGTTTTTGAACAAATTGGTGGGAATCCAACATCAGAAATCATTTAACTGTTGATATTGAAATTTAAAATTTAAATCATAAATGACATGTGTTGACAAAGTTTGTTAGAATTGGGCTGTTAAATTAATTAGCTTTTTAAAGAAGGTATTTAGATATCAAAATATGAAAAAAAAATATTAATTAAAAATTTAGTAATTTNAATATTTAAATATAAGTAGAAAATAAATAAATTTTTGTTTGTATCAAAGATGAAATTTTTGCTGTTTGAATCCTGACTTAAATGAGATTATTACACTAGAAAATTCTAACTTAAATATTTATATTTTAAATTTATGTAGTTGAAAGATTTTTATAAAATATGAAAAATGTTAGATTTAATGAAAGATTTTAAAACAAGTTATAAATGATATAATGAATTAATTTATTAACTATAAAATTACTTTTTTAAATATATACTATAACATATATTTATGCATACATTGGGTGTCTGTAAAGTTAATGTGCAGTGAGAGATTTATAAACGTTAAAGTTATATGTATGGCATTGCATTTGAGACCTGTATGTTGTGGGTCCTGCATTTCCACTTAACATTAGATGGTGTTACTGCTTGCTCACAAATGTTCTGGCTTTTGGAAGACTTATTTGTCAATTGCATAATTTTCTATGGAATCTGGCCTGGTAGGTTTCTGGACCTCACTCTCTTGAATTTTGGGGCCTCTGGGGATATTTCCAGCATTTGGTGTATAAGAAATTTTATTTTTATTAAAACTTCATTTAAACCTTTTCCACTACACAGTAACATTTTGGACACTCTGTAAATATACATTATGTTGTATACTTGTGTAAATTTTTGTTTTACACAATTAATAACACAATTAAATACTTGTGTTATTATTTTTATTTTGTTTAGTATTTTTTCCCAATATTTTTCAGATCACTTTCCTTATTGATTGGAAAAATGCAAATAAGTATCCAGCAGTAGTTATCTTTTACATTAATATTTGTTTCCTAATTAATTGCATTGGGTGGCTAGCTCAGTTTACTCCTGGTGCTAGAAGAAACATAGTTTGTCATCAAGATGGTACGTTCAGACAAGGAGAACCAAGGTAAACTTAGCTTGTATATATTTTTAGAAAATAATATTGAAAATCTTTTACATTAATTTCAACTTATCTATATAATTTCTGCTTCAAATTATATTGCAGACTTTATTTTTAAAAGTTACAAAATTTATTGTATATGATTATAAAAGACATTTTGATGAAACCATATTTAGATTTTAATGTATAAGAGAAAATCCAATGTTTTCTGCCTCTTAGCCATGCTATCTTTTGCATTGGATAACACAAAAGCATTGGGTATATACCTTATCCCATTTCAAGATGGACATTTTAACACATGATTGACATATATAAAGTCAACATATCCCTGCAAGCCAGAATATGTAACCACAAATATGACATAACCAAGGGAAATTTCAACACAGCACTTGCCCATTTTGCTGTCAAACCTGAGGTTTCCCCTGCTGGGATGAAGCTACACTTTTACACAAGGTCTTTGACCGACATGACTTAAGATCCTTAAATGCTTTAGAAATCTGTATGACTGAGAAGAAAGGATGTTGTGTTAACTTTGACGACATTACAGTACCACAAGCATGGAAATATTTTATAGATTTGCACAGAATTTAATGTTTTTAATTTTATTATTTAATATAACTTCTTGNTGAATTGTGGCCAAAATTATTAAAAAAATTATTTGCTGGAAATTGCATATAGGTGTTATTTTCACTGGTGTATTTACATTTTGATTTAATTTTATACTCTTTATAATCTAAAATTTGTTTTTTATTATATGTGATTAGTAATAGTTTGTAGTTTATATTTAAATTATTTGCATTTATCTCTGTCAATCAAAAAAACAAAGAATAAAATAAAATTTCAATATTTAAATATAAGTAGAAAATAAATAAATTTTTGTTTGTATCAAAGATGAAATTTTTGCTGTTTGAATCCTGACTTAAATGAGATTATTACACTAGAAAATTCTAACTTAAATATTTATATTTTAAATTTATGTAGTTGAAAGATTTTTATAAAATATGAAAAATGTTAGATTTAATGAAAGATTTTAAAACAAGTTATAAATGATATAATGAATTAATTTATTAACTATAAAATTACTTTTTTAAATATATACTATAACATATATTTATGCATACATTGGGTGTCTGTAAAGTTAATGTGCAGTGAGAGATTTATAAACGTTAAAGTTATATGTATGGCATTGCATTTGAGACCTGTATGTTGTGGGTCCTGCATTTCCACTTAACATTAGATGGTGTTACTGCTTGCTCACAAATGTTCTGGCTTTTGGAAGACTTATTTGTCAATTGCATAATTTTCTATGGAATCTGGCCTGGTAGGTTTCTGGACCTCACTCTCTTGAATTTTGGGGCCTCTGGGGATATTTCCAGCATTTGGTGTATAAGAAATTTTATTTTTATTAAAACTTCATTTAAACCTTTTCCACTACACAGTAACATTTTGGACACTCTGTAAATATACATTATGTTGTATACTTGTGTAAATTTTTGTTTTACACAATTAATAACACAATTAAATACTTGTGTTATTATTTTTATTTTGTTTAGTATTTTTTCCCAATATTTTTCAGATCACTTTCCTTATTGATTGGAAAAATGCAAATAAGTATCCAGCAGTAGTTATCTTTTACATTAATATTTGTTTCCTAATTAATTGCATTGGGTGGCTAGCTCAGTTTACTCCTGGTGCTAGAAGAAACATAGTTTGTCATCAAGATGGTACGTTCAGACAAGGAGAACCAAGGTAAACTTAGCTTGTATATATTTTTAGAAAATAATATTGAAAATCTTTTACATTAATTTCAACTTATCTATATAATTTCTGCTTCAAATTATATTGCAGACTTTATTTTTAAAAGTTACAAAATTTATTGTATATGATTATAAAAGACATTTTGATGAAACCATATTTAGATTTTAATGTATAAGAGAAGTGTATATATAAAAATAAGTGTATGTATAGACTTACTATTATTTTTTAATGTAAAATAACTATAGTCCAAATATCAAGTTCATTTAGTCAAGTAATGTCAAGCCAGCATGTCCTAGCTTGATATTTTTGTCCCATCAGATGATATGTGCTATTGCTTAACTGCATTGTGAAGACATAGCTCCTAGGATATACTAGTGTGATGATCTGTGGGAATTATGTGATAGCATCCTCTTGTTGGATCTCATAGTGGATGGATTGTAGAGAGCAAAACAATTTTTTCTTAATTTGAATTCAAATACACTAAGATATACATATAGTAAAATTTCTTCCACATGAGTGTCTCTTCCTTTTAACTATGATATTGCTTTTACATGCAAATGGTAAACATTCACTAGATAAGTATTTTTTCTGTCTGATTCATAAATTACTTGAATCTACAGTTGTCTAGCCAAAAGAAGTCCAAAAATTGAGATAAGATAACTCATCCACCCAACAATCCTTAAAATTCTTCTCTGCAGCAGCATTAGGTAACATTACAATTATAGTGATCCCATGATAACCTGAACTCATCACATAGCAAATTATCAGAAATCAATCTTATGTCAAAGCAAAAATCTTTTACCTGAATTGGATGTTCAGATTAGAGTGTTAAAACTGTGCAATGTATCACTATTTGGCTAGATCAGCAGTTCTTAACAGCGGTGCGAGAGAAATTTCAAAAATTAAAAAAAAAAAAAAAAAAATACAAACGAGATGATCACATTCTCTACAAACCATGATATCCAGCAACATGGCATCCTCACTTCTTCATTTTCTACCATCTCACTTCTACACTCTCTACTCTATCGTCTCTCAGCACATAGCTCTTGTCATCAGTCGTCAGTACATGCAGTTAACCTTTGTATAGTGGGTTAGTCAGCTATGGTGCTATCATGATGTAGTGGAGAATAAACATGGGAAATTTTTTAAGTATTTTCCCATGCATTTTTCTCATTACTGTTTCGTAAAAAAATTTTTTAAACAGTTATGTCTAGTAAAGAAAAAGCTTTTTTTATTGTCACATAATTCCTTTTTTATGTGAATTTTTTTTCACAGTAGTTTTTGGTGCAAAAGGATTTTGTGGATATCACTGTTGTTCACCAGTGCCACGTAATTGCCCTTGACGGGTATATCCATCAATCAGTGCAGAGTGGTTAATGTAGTCACATTGTCAAATGCAGTACAGAAACTAGTTGAGATGTGTTCACATACCTTGAATACAGTACTTTTGCACATCAAAACAAAAGCCAGAAATTGCTTAAACTGATGACTTATGCATGGCTCTTTCAAAAAAAGAGCCTCATTTTAATAGAATTATTATGAATAAACAACAACAACCTAGCCATTAAAATTTAAATATTGCTTTTTATGTTATATAGTAATATATATTATAAATAAACATGGCATTTGTTTATGCAATAAATGTTTTTTCTTAAATGCATAGTGGAGTGCATTATTTCTAGTGCACTGTCTCTCAGCTCCCTTCTCCATCGCAGATCTGTTTGTTCCTTCTTATCTGATTGCTCATGCAATTAAAATTATTTGAAAAGTTTGTGTGTCTAAAATCACAGATGATGTCAGTCCTGATTTGGGCATTGCTGACATCAATGGTCACACAAATGTCAATTTTTAAACAAAATATAATGAAAGTGAAAATATATTACTTCTTTCAAGGAAAATGTTCCCATAAAATTTTAATGAAATATATGAAATATGATTTTATTTCTAACAGTTTTCTGTATTGATTATTACAATTTAATAATTAACAATTTTCTTGTATTAATGTTTTTTTTTAATAAATTACTTATAAAGAAATTCCAACAGAATTAATTACATTTCTGTTTATATACAAAAATGTACAGGATATTGCCACACAGAGAAGTATATAGTAGAAATATTTGAATATTCAAATTTAATTTTTTTTATTGTTTGAAGAGAATAAAACAGATAAACTTTGACATTGTATGCAAACTTATGTTTATTGATTTTAAAATACATATTGTAGTGAATTTCATTAAAATTCAATTCACTATTACTTAATAATAAATTTCTGTATATAATTCTAATTTCAAAATAAAAAAATCAGTGAACATTTTTTTTTTCCAGAAATGGTTCAAACTTATCTTGCATTATTGTTTTCATTTTAACTTATTACTCTCTGATGGCATCTATTGTTTGGTTTGTGATACTTGCATACACATGGAGCATATCATTTCGAAATGTGGGAATTCCAAGAGATTTAACAGAAGGAAAAGCAGCTTATTTTCATATGGTATCATGGAGTCTTCCTTTAATTTTAACAATCACTATAATGGCTCTCAGTGAGGTAAATATGGTTATTTATTTAGGATTATTATTTCAATATAAAAATTATATGTAATATTTGGTTAATAAAACTTGTAATGACATATATCCAGCAGAAAATTGCTAGAATCGAAATAAAACTTTTGTATAACTTGCCCCACTGTATACCTTATACTGTATCTCCAGAGTGGCTGTTGACAACATGGTATTTACTAGTACACAATCTAGAAGATGCCATCTCAAATACTAAAATATTTTTTTTTTATTTCACTTCAATATAGATGTAATTATAAAATAAGTGAAATAAAATGGAATATGAGAAGGAATCTCCTAAACTTTGTGTGTAGAGACATTATCAAATGACAAAGTTTTTTAATCATATCTTTTCATTTGTTTTATTTATCTATAAAATAATTTTAATGTTGATAATATCTAATGATATGAATTTAAGAGTTGATTACTTTGCTCTCATTTGCTATAGTGAACTCTAAGCTTAGTTCATATAGAGAAGCAAAAGCTATATAAAAAATTATATTCTGCTAATAAAAGTAAAAGCAGAATATAAATATGATTTATTTTCATGTAATAAATTTGATTTTCACTGCTGTTTTTCAAAACAAGAACATTGAAATGAAAATCATACTGTATATGAAAACAAGATGGCAGGTGATAACAGCTAGCTTGATATTTTTGTCCCATCAGATGATATGTGCTANTAAGAATTAGAAAATATTTTCTTCATACTTGTCATGTTTAAATATCTCTGAAAATTCAATGTTCTACTTATCAATGAATGTTTTTTGCTAGCAGAAAAGTTCATGTTAAAATGTGATTACTTTTCACAAAACAGACCAATTCACCAGAAAGGATGCCAAAATTATGCTGACATAATATTTTGTTGTTTTGCTTTTAGAACCTGTATGAACTAAGCTTAAAATTCAGGTATTATGTTGTTTTATTTAATTATTATTATTGTGTTATTTATAAATACATAATATACTAATTTACAGTATATTATGAAACTATGATAAAAACAATTTTTTGTTTTATGACAAGCCAAGTTTTTCAAATAAAAGACATACTTCCTTACGGTAAAAACTTGACAGATTGTCAATTGTCAGATCATTCAACAGAATGCCAAAATTTCATTTTGTTCACCCAATTGCTGTTTAGAAAACATTACACAAAGATTTATTTTACCATTATTTTCTAACTCAAAACTTATTAAGTAATAATTAAATTTATATGAATGTCATTTGAATTAATATAAAACAAATTTATACACTGTATACAGTGTAGAAATTATAGTATAACTGCTTAGTATAGTATAAGAATTATAGTATATTATTGTGACTCAATTTTTCACCAACTTTTCAATTAAATGCCAAACCAAGAAGAATTTTAATAATTCAGTGTTCCATATATAAAACTAAAAAGTAGAAAATAAAAAATACTAATCAAAAATTATAAAGAAATGCTTTTTATTCACACAAATGCATTAAAAAGTAAAAAAAAATTTTTTTCTATATTAGTATTTTTAGTATTATGTGACGAAAGATAAAAAGTGTGGGGCACTCATGTTTATAAATATTTTGTTATTGAGACAATGACCATACAAATAATTCTGGGTCAATTCAAATCCTTTTTTAAAATTTCAGCTAGAAACAGATGGTTATTAACACGAAGATACAAAAAGCAATGAATTCAGATGAAATTGCAATAAATTCTCGAATTTCCACCAGTGGTCTGCATATGCGTATAAATACAACAGATATTGACTTGAGTGATGTTTTAGAAAATTTTTAATACATTGTTATTGACGTTGGATCCTCAAAGAAAAGGTCAACATCAAATGTATATTGTATATTGTATGTGTTTTTTAATATCATATCATCACTGTTTTTTTAATGAAGAATTTTTTGTATCTTCATGTTGTTAACCATCCATCTCTAGTTGAAATTTTAAAAAAGATTTGAATTGACCCAGAATTATTTGTATGGTCATTGTCTCAATAAGTGAATTAATCCTTGGGCCTTTACAATTTTTAGTTATGCTTTCAGTCAATTTTTATGGGCTTCTCATGAGTGCCCCTCATTTATTTTTGGTTGCATAATACTATGAATACTGTGAAAGCTGAAAAAAGTATTTTTTATCTTTTTGTGCATTTATGTGAATAAAAAGTGTTTTTCTTAAACTTTTTTTATATTTTTTATTTTAAAAGTAACTATTCATTAATGCACAGCCTTAGTGTTATGTTCGTGAAAATAACGATAACTCGTAAACATATATAACTAGCTTTATTAACATAAACGTAACTATGAGTGAACAACATATCGTCGTGTCCAGGTCTAGGGGTTACAAACAACTAAAGACAACTCGTTGAGACAAAGAACATACACGAGGTCGAAGGTGTGGGGTGACCTAAGTAGGTCAAGGGGCAATTCCCAGTAGTGGTCATCCCCTGGCGGTTTACAAACATAACAATTCTCCCACACTTAATAAAATGTTATTTAAATTTGTTCGTTTAGATTTAGGCGTTGTACTGGTTTCCGTATTCGTGTTGATCTTCGAGGTTCCGACTCATTTCCATTTGTTATCGTTCGGCTAGATTCTCCCTCTTTCTCTGGGGGCTGGTCGGAAGTTGTTTTTGTCATTGTTTTTTGTTGCATAATGTCGTTACAGTTCCTTCGTCGTAGCTAATTGTGCTAGGGTGTGTACTAGCGCTAGCTGAGGATGAGTCCCTGTTGTTGACTGTGTCGTTGCACTTGTCAATTTTCTTTTTGTTGAAGTCTAATCCTATCTGGACAGGAGTTCTGTTTGTTAATTTCACACAGACGTAGTTGATCGTAATGTCTTTTTATTACGTATCCATCGTCGAGTTCAATTAAGTAGTGTACACGACCTAGTCGTTCGGCTACGATACCATATTTCCAAGGACCGGAAGTTGTGTAATTTCGGGATTGTACACGATCTCCCACACGATAAAATTTGTAGAATTTCGGTTGTTCAGTTATGTTCCTTTCGGAAGCTTGTGCCTGGGGTTTGAGCAAATCTAATTTTGTTCTTATTGTATGTCCTAATAGATTTTCTGCTGGACTTTTCCCGTTAGATAAGGGAGTCGCTCTATATCGGAATAATAGTTCATGAAGCTTCTGATGTAAGGTACCAGTTTCATGCTTCATACATTTGAGGTGTGTTTTTAAGGTGTGGCAGTATCTTTCAGCCTGGCCATTTGTGGCTGGGTGTCCCGGTGCTATTAGACTTTGACGGATTCCGTTTCTCGAACAAAACTCTTGAAATTCTTGTGACTTAAAAATGCTTGCATTATCACTTACTAAGATCTCAGGTAGACCAAATCGAGCAAAGGCTTCACGTAGGAAATGAATTGTGATTGATGTGTCTGGTGCTTTCTTTGTATAGAATATTTCCGGCCACTTCGATTTGGCATCAACGACAATGAAGAAATAATGATTTATAAATGGTCCTGCGTAATCGATGTGTATGCGTTGCCAGTTTCTTGTAGGTGTTTCCCATTTGTGTATTGGAGCTTTTGTTGGGTTTTTCTTAATGTCACAGCATTCTTTGCAACTTTTAACCGTATTCTCAATATCAGAGTCGATATTACGCCAGTAACAGTAGTTTCGGGCTAGGGCCTTCATTCGAACGATTCCTATGTGTGTAGAGTGTAGCTCTTGTAGTACTGCTGGCTGTAAACTTTTTGGGACGATTACGCGGTGTCCTCTAAACAGAATGCCGTTGTGTGTGGATATTTCTGGGTCGTACATATGGCCTTTGACAATGTCGTTTTTGATCTGTGATAGTTCCTTGTCAATTGACGATTCTCTTCGAATGTCTTTGGCCATGATAGTTCCGGTTGAGATATGTTTTACGACAGTGTCATGATAAGTATCATCGTGGTCTTCTGTTAGGGCTTCTTTTCCTGTTATGGGTATAGGATTTCGTGACAGGTAATCGGCATTTGTATGTTCAGTCGACTTCCTATGTTTGATGGTGTAATCGAAGTTGGAAAGGAAGTGCGCATATCTTAGCATTCTTGTAGCTGTCAAAACGGGTAGTTTCTTGTCAGGGTGTAGTATTGTCATCATGGGTTTATTGTCGACTATGAGAGTAAATTTTCTTCCATAGATATAATCAAAAAATTTTTTGCATGCCCAGAACACAGCAGTAGCCTCTTTATCCAGCTGGCTATAGTTTCGTTCGGCAAATGTGAGGGATCTGGAGGCAAATGCTATAGGCCGTTCTGTTCCATTTGGCATCTGGTGTGACAATATTCCAGAAAGTCCAAATGGGCTGGCATCTGTTGCTAATGTTATTGGTAGTTTAGGATTGAACGGGGTTAGTACCCTCTCACTGGTAATCTCAGATTTCGCATGAATGAAAGCTGTTTCCCATTCTGCTGTCCAACGGAATTGGGCGTTTTTCTTTAGGTGTTGATTCAATGGGTATAAGATATCTGATGCATTCTTTATGAATCTGGAATAGTAATTAACAAGTCCTAGAAATTGACGTGATTCTTCCACATTTCTCGGGCGAGGTGCATCCTGGATGGCTTTTATTTTGTCTGGAGACTTTTGGTGTCCTTCTGCACTAATTATATGTCCTAAATATTGTACTTTTTTTCCAAAGAATTTGCACTTACTAATGTTTACGTGTAAGTCGTTAGCTCTCAACTTGTCTAAGACATTCAGTAAACGGTTCATGCATTCTTTATAAGTTTTTCCTTGAATTATGATGTTGTCAAAATAAGCTACCACTCCTTCAAGATTTTGGGTAAATTGGTCAATGAACTTATGGAACTCATTTGGTGCAGATTTAATTCCAAAAAATAATTGTTTTGCTACATAGGTTCCACGGTGTGTTGAAATTGTTTGTATTTTCACACTGTCATCATCAACTGATATATGAAGATAAGCTTTGTGGATATCTAACGTACAAAAATAAGATCCATTCTGTAACTTATTGAAAATGTCTTCAATGCGTGGAATCGGGTGGTGTGAGTCGTGCAACTGCTTGTTGACTGTGACTTTATAGTCTGCACAGATTCGTACTGTCCCATTGGGTTTTGGAATGACGACTATGGGTGTTCCCCATTCCGAGTAATCCACCTTTTCGATGATACCCTCACTTTCTAATTTATCTAATTCCTCATCCACTTTTTCTTTCAATGCATAGGGGATTGGGCGTGGTTTTAGGAACATTGGTTTGGCATCATCTCTCAGTTTTAATGAGCAGGTATAATTAGGTATTTTGCCAACTCTGGAGGTGAACACGTCTGAGTACTGCGCTATGATTTTTGAGACGGATGTTTCTACTTTTGTTGACGAAATGTTGTTTACCTTAGTTGTATGGCTGAGTTCATTGATGTCAATCTTTAAACTCCAGATCCAATCTCTTCCTACTATTGCATTTTTTTTTTGAAGGGAACGACATACAAGTCCTCTATACTGTAGTTGCCACCATGTTTAGTTTGTACTTTTGCTACTCCTAAGGGTTTAAAAATATCACCTGTGTAACTTCGAAAGGTCACTTCCGTTTTTGCTATGGGTGCGTTTAATTGTAAACGATTGAATTTGTCGATACTGATGATAGTGACACGACTGCCAGTGTCACATTCAAAACGAACTTTTGTGCCGTTAACGTAGATTTCTGTGAGGAGTCTGTCATCAGTTCCCATTGTATTAACAAATACATCTAGAACGCTGTTTATATCAAAGTCAATTACGTGTTCGTGATTAATATTGTGGACGTTATGATTCCTGTTGATTGTTGATGTTTGTTTCCTTAGGGATGATATGCAAACTTTCCCTGTGTGACCTTTTTTATGACATCGTTCACATTTCAGCCGGTCTTTGACTCTACAGTTTATTGATTTATGGTTGTTTTTTCCGCAATGTAGGCATAGTTCTTCTAAATGGAGTTCGTGGAGGTTAAGTGGCTCTCTGCTGCGACTTTCTATTCGGCTCCTGTTACGATTTGACGGTTGTGTTTGAGGATGTGAGCGTCGTTTTGTTTGAGTATTTTTGGTAATTTTATGAACAAAGTGGTTACTTTTATATACTTCGTCGTTTTCTATTTTAGAAGCTTCTATGGCTAATGCAATTTCTAGCGTCTGTTCGAAGGTTAGGTCGGTTTGTTGTAAAATTTTCTCACGGATGTCGGAATCTCGTAAGCCACGTATGAACTGTACTCTTAACATTAGATCTATGACGGATTTTATACAGTCCGCATTGTTACAACTAGACTTGAAATCTGCGCTTTTCGAGAGTTGTTTTAACGAAGTCACGTAATTTGAGATGGACTCACCATTATGTTGTTCTCTGGACAAGAATTTGTGCTGTTCTGTTAGGGTATTTCGTTTGGGCGTTAGGTGATTTTGTAGTAACTTCATTAATTCGGCAAATGTTCGCTTCGAGGGTATTTCTGGTGCCGTTAGGTTGGTCAATAGCTGATAATGTTTCGGTCCAAGACAATTGATTAATATCATTACCTTAGCTTCTTCGGTAATGGCGTCTGTTCCGGTCAGTCCTTTGATTTTGAAAAAGTTATCCAGTCGTTGGGAATAATTTTCAAAGGTCTCGGACGTTTCGTCGTAAGTTTCGAAGGTTAGGGCTTGCGTTTGGAGGACTCGTTGAACTGATAGTTCTGGTTGCGTCTCCACTGATTGACTCTGTAATTTCTTGACGAACACATTTAGCGTTGAAATTAATTCTGTGAGTTCACTCATTTTATCCTTTTTGTCCTTGTTGCCAATTTTTCCTTCGTCGTCAATTTTATCCTCGTCGCCAATTGTTATATTCGTGGAAATAACGATAACTCGTAAACGTATATAACTAACTTTATTAACATAAACGTAACAATGAGTGAACAACGTATCGTCCTGTCCAGGTCTAGGGGTTACAAAACAACTAAAGACAACTCGTTGAGACAAAGAACATACACGAGGTCGGAGGTGTGGGGTGACCTAAGTAGGTCAAGGGGCGATTCCCGGTAGCGGTCATCCCCTGGCGGTTTACATACATAACAATTCTCCCACACTTAATAAAATGTTATTTAAATTAATTTTGTTCGTTTAGAGATTTAGGCGTTGTACTGGTTTCCGTATTCGTGTTGATCTTCGAGGTTCCGACTCATTTCCATTTGTTATCGTTTGGCTAGATTCTCCCTCTTTCTCTGGGGGCTGGTCGGAAGTTGTTTTTGTCATTGTCTCCCTTTTGTTGCGTAATGTCGTTACAGTTCCTTCGTCGTGGCTAATTGTGCTAGGGTGTGTACTAGCGCTAGCTGAGGATGAGTCCCTGTTGTTGACTGTGTCGTTGCACTTGTCAATTTTCTTTTTGTTGAAGTCGAATCCTATCTGGACGGGAGTTGTCTGTTTGTTAATTTCACACAGACGTAGTTGATCGTAATGTCTTTTTATTACGTATCCATCGTCGAGTTCAATTAAGTAGTGTACACGACCTAGTCGTTCGGCTACGATACCATATTTCCAAGGACAGGAAGTTGTGTAATTTCGGGATTGTACACGATCTCCCACACGATAAAATTTGTAGAATTTCGGTTGTTCAGTTATGTTCCTTTCGGAAGCTTGTGCCTGGGGTTTGAGCAAATCTAATTTTGTTCTTATTGTATGTCCTAATAGATTTTCTGCTGGACTTTTCCCGTTAGATAAGGGAGTCGCTCTATATCGGAATAATAGTTCATGAAGCTTCTGATGTAAGGTACCAGTTTCATGCTTCATACATTTGAGGTGTGTTTTTAAGGTGTGGCAGTATCTTTCAGCCTGGCCATTTGTGGCTGGGTGTCCCGGTGCTATTAGACTTTGACGGATTCCGTTTCTCGAACAAAACTCTTGAAATTCTTGTGACTTAAAAATGCTTGCATTATCACTTACTAAGATCTCAGGTAGACCAAATCGAGCAAAGACTTCACGTAGGAAATGAATTGTGATTGATGTGTCTGGTGCTTTCTTTGTATAGAATATTTCCGGCCACTTCGATTTGGCATCAACGACAATGAAGAAATAATGATTTATAAATGGTCCTGCGTAATCGATGTGTATGCGTTGCCAGTTTCTTGTAGGTGTTTCCCATTTGTGTATTGGAGCTTTTGTTGGGTTTTTCTTAATGTCACAGCATTCTTTGCAACTTTTAACCGTATTCTCAATATCAGAGTCGATATTACGCCAGTAACAGTAGTTTCGGGCTAGGGCCTTCATTCGAACGATTCCTATGTGTGTAGAGTGTAGCTCTTGTAGTACTGCTGGCTGTAAACTTTTTGAGACGGATGTTTCTACTTTTGTTGACGAAATGTTGTTGACCGTATGGCTGAGTTCATTGATGTCAATCTTTAAACTCCGGATCCAATCTCTTCCTACTATTGCATTTTTTTTGAAGGGAACGACATACAAGTCCTCCATACTGTAGTTGCCACCATGTTTAGTTTTTACTTTTGCTACTCCTAAGGGTTTAAAAATATCACCTGTGTAACTTCGAAAGGTCGCTTCCGTTTTCGCTATGGGTGCGTTTAATTGTAAACGATTGAATTCGTCGATACTGATGATAGTGACGCGACTGCCAGTGTCACATTCAAAACGAACTTTTGTGCCATTAACGTAGATTTCTGTGAGGAGTCTGTCATCAGTTCCCATTGTATTAACAAATACATCTAGAACGCTGTTTATATCAAAGTCAATTACGTGTTCGTGATTAATATTGTGGACGTTATGATTCCTGTTGATTGTTGACATTTGTTTCCTTAGGGATGATATGCAAACTTTCCCTGTGTGACCTTTTTTATGACATTGTTCACATTTCAGCCGGTCTTTGACTCTACAGTTTATTGATTTATGGTTGTTTTTTCCGCAATGTAGGCATAGTTCTTCTAAATGGAGTTCGTGGAGGTTAAGTGGCTCTCTGCTGCGACTTTCTATTCGGCTCCTGTTACGATTTGACGGTTGTGTTTGAGGATGTGAGCGTCGTTTTGTTTGAGTATTTTTGGTAATTTTATGAACAAAGTGGTTACTTTTATATACTTCGTCGTTTTCTATTTTAGAAGCTTCTATGGCTAATGCAATTTCTAGCGTCTGTTCGAAGGTTAGGTTGGTTTGTTGTAAAATTTTCTCACGGATGTCGGAATCTCGTAAGCCACGTGTGAATTGTACTCTTAACATTAGATCTATGACGGATTTTATACAGTCCTCATTGTTACAACTAGACTTGAAATCTGCGCTTTTCGAGAGTTGTTTTAACAAAGTCACGTAATTTGAGATGGACTCACCATTATGTTGTTCTCTGGACAAGAATTTGTGTTGTTATGTTAGGATATTTCGTTTGGGCATTAGGTGATTTTGTAGTAACTTCATTAATTCAGCAAAGGTTCGCTTTGAGGGTATTTCTGGTGCCGTTAGGTTGGTCAGTAGCTGATAATGTTTCGGTCCAAGACAATTGATTAATATCATTACCTCAGCTTATTCAGCAGTGCCCATATGCAGTATATATAACATATGCTTTTGCTTTCATCACATAAACTTAGGTAACTGTTTGTTTTTTTTTCTTATATATATATAAAAGAAAGAAACATAAGAAAGTCTATATAATATATATATATAAATCAAATATAAATCAACTGGTAAATAATAGGCCTACTGCTGGCTAGAAAAGAAAAAATACTAGTCAGAAGTTTTTTCAGTTTGTCCTTACAGCTTCCCAATTATTTATTCCTGGCTATGAGACTGCACTAATGTACTTCTGAAAAATAACTATTGTCATCAGTGATTTTATTATTAACAATATAATGAAGAGAAGGCTTCTTTATGTTTTACAAGTACCATGGCAAATCACAAAGACCAGTATTAGCTTTTAATTGTTTGACGTTTTATGGAGTCAACAGTCAGGCAACTCTGGAACTCTCCTTTGCTAATGGAACTTTAGTATTGAGCAAACTATATAGAAAACTCAATGACAGAGTTTAATGCAAAAATGTCAATGGCCTTTATTTCATTAATCTCCTCTCAAAAAAGTGTCTGAATTGGTGCAGAGACTACCAGCTTTAAATTCAAAATCAATGGGTCCATGTTCTCTTCAGTGAAGAGTCAAAAGTTCAGACTAAAAGATGATATGTGATATGTTCACATCTAGAGAGAGCCAGGGAACAAACCAGAAAACAGATTCATCCTTCCAACATTGGAAAATTGGTAAGTATGATGGCAGCAGACTTATAATGTGGAAGGTATGTAGGATTGATTTACAGTACTCCAAATGTTTGCAGGAAGTATCCTGACTGCTCAGAAATGAATGATATTTTAGAGGCCTCTGTTTTTAAGAAGTTTTGGTCAACTCATTTTTTGAATGATAATGCTTGTTCACATAGGGTTTATTGAGCTGGTTGATGAATACCTTGAAAGTGAAGATATTCAGAGGATGGAGGGACAGCTATATTTCCTGACCTGAATTCCTAAGAACTTGTCTAGAATGTCTTGGGAAGAGCAGTTGCAAGACATCATCCCTACATCTAGAGTAGGGCTTATTAAACTTTTTCCATTTGCAATCCCAATTATATATCATAGGTAGATAAAATAAATATACAAATAGTAATAACTTGATAATATCTAATATTTGTGAATGTCATTTCATATTACTAACTATTTTTGATTTAATAGAAATAAATTGTAATAGTCAAATAGAACAAACAATAATTTAGTAATTTTGGACATTTAAAACAAGTTTTAAATTTTCTGAAATTCTTTACTAGTCAGTAAGGAAAAAAGATATTGTAACTTAAATCAAATTTAAATTTAATTGAAACAAATTTAACATATATTTTATTACTGCAATGATATAATATTAAGAATTGTAGAAAAATTAATAAGTTATATTTTAAACTTACCCATTATCAATTGTTAAAATAATCATTTTGTTTGTATTTATTATTACATTTTTAAACAACTGACTATTTAGATACAGTGGAACCTCACTTAACGAGCATCTTGCATAACGAGCAAAACAAATTGTTAAAAAATGACTTGCTTAACAAGCAATGTATCACATAATGAGTGACAAGGAGAGGGGAAGTCCTGGATTGTGCAAATGCTCCATCAGTCTATGTTTAGCACTTGTTCCACTAGCATGGTATATGTTTTGTTGGGTATATAAATCAGTCAGCTCGTGGAGGATTTCTTCTGGTTCCTGTTGCTTTAGCTACTGTAATTGGAATATTTTTTCTATTGAGAGGTATANTTTCATCACATAAACTTAGGTAACTGTTTGTTTTTTTTTCTTATATATATATAAAAGAAAGAAACATAAGAAAGTCTATATAATATATATATATAAATCAAATATAAATCAACTGGTAAATAATAGGCCTACTGCTGGCTAGAAAAGAAAAAATACTAGTCAGAAGTTTTTTCAGTTTGTCCTTACAGCTTCCCAATTATTTATTCCTGGCTATGAGACTGCACTAATGTACTTCTGAAAAATAACTATTGTCATCAGTGATTTTATTATTAACAATATAATGAAGAGAAGGCTTCTTTATGTTTTACAAGTACCATGGCAAATCACAAAGACCAGTATTAGCTTTTAATTGTTTGACGTTTTATGGAGTCAACAGTCAGGCAACTCTGGAACTCTCCTTTGCTAATGGAACTTTAGTATTGAGCAAACTATATAGAAAACTCAATGACAGAGTTTAATGCAAAAATGTCAATGGCCTTTATTTCATTAATCTCCTCTCAAAAAAGTGTCTGAATTGGTGCAGAGACTACCAGCTTTAAATTCAAAATCAATGGGTCCATGTTCTCTTCAGTGAAGAGTCAAAAGTTCAGACTAAAAGATGATATGTGATATGTTCACATCTAGAGAGAGCCAGGGAACAAACCAGAAAACAGATTCATCCTTCCAACATTGGAAAATTGGTAAGTATGATGGCAGCAGACTTATAATGTGGAAGGTATGTAGGATTGATTTACAGTACTCCAAATGTTTGCAGGAAGTATCCTGACTGCTCAGAAATGAATGATATTTTAGAGGCCTCTGTTTTTAAGAAGTTTTGGTCAACTCATTTTTTGAATGATAATGCTTGTTCACATAGGGTTTATTGAGCTGGTTGATGAATACCTTGAAAGTGAAGATATTCAGAGGATGGAGGGATAGCTATATTTCCTGACCTGAATTCCTAAGAACTTGTCTAGAATGTCTTGGGAAGAGCAGTTGCAAGACATCATCCCTACATCTAGAGTAGGGCTTATTAAACTTTTTCCATTTGCAATCCCAATTATATATCATAGGTAGATAAAATAAATATACAAATACTGTAAAACATTAAATTTGTTTGGTTCATTATCAGTTAATTCTAAATAATTCTTTGTTATACTTATAATTTTATCACTTAGTACTATTTATTTGACAAAGGCAAATTTGCATATTAATGGGATGAATGTAAGCTATTTTTGCATAATGAATTGAACCTTTGACGAATATTTGATACGTAATGAGACAAGACACCTTCAACATTTTTCAGGCTTGATCAACATTTTGATTTTATAATCATCAATGATGAAAATGTTACTTCACATAAATATGTAATACAAAATGGCAGAAATGTGTTTAGGACCATTTCAGAAATTGTTGAAAAATTCCAAGACAAAATTCATTTAATTAATGATTATTTAAAAACCTCATGTTTTAGACCTTTGTTGCTTGATAACTCAGCAAATTTTTCTTGAGCTTTTAACAGCAGATGACTGAGATTTTTCATTTCAATAGTGTATGGTGGTTTTTGAACCCAAATTAGTTTTTTGTAATTAAAATTTAAAGGGAAGTAATTCTGAAACTGTGTCCCCAAGCAATTCAAATGATCAATTATAACTTTTAAAATTAAGTCTTTGGGAAGGTCATTTTCAATAAGTAAATGATCTGTAGTTGTAAATATTTCTAAAGAACCATTTTCTATCTTATTTTTCCATATGTTAAGATTGAAGGTTTTATTAAGAAAAGTTATCTTGTAACCTAAATATATTACAATATTTTCCTTGAAGTGACATGTTTAATTAATTGAATTTTTTAAAAATATCTGACAAATAACATAGTATACCTATATAAACATCTCAAAGCCCAATAGTTATATTAAAGCCAAACAATTGCCAGATTAAATTGGGCCACATTACTGCTACTTTTAATAATTAAATACTTAGTAATTTGGCACTAGAGGTAGGCATTAGGTGCCAATCGCGTATTAAATTAATAATTATAATTATAATTAAATTAGTTAATAAATATTAATTTAATGATTTAAAATATTTTTATTTCCTTATCAATTTAGATGTAACTTTTTAAATACTACAACCTGGTAATGAAGACTTTCTTTCATTGTTAAATTCTCGGTGATTAAATTCAGAAAGAAAGCTTTAAAATGCAGATAAGCTGCATTTTTAAGCTTTCTTTCTGAATTTAGCAACTTTTCCGTGACCTAAAAATATTTTTGTTCCAAAATATAAATAAATACAGTAGAACCTCGATTATCCGCCCCCCGATCAACCGACCCCTCGGTTAACCGACCGTCCTAGTCGGCAAATTTCAAATGTCCGCTAGTGATGTGGCGCTACAATAGTGACGATTATTATTTTAAAAAATTATTGTTAGGCTTAACATCGATGAAAATTCAATGCAAAATAGGTTAATAGCGATATACTAATATACTAATTACATGGGATATAATAATATACTACACTAATAATGGATTTTTTCATACTTTTCGGTTATCCGACTTTTCAATTATCCGACCAACCCCAGTCCCCAATTAGGGCGGATAATCGAGGTTCTACTGTATAACATTTTTCATAATAGTTTTTCAATTAAATTCTAGCTTCAGTTTATAAAATTAAATTTGTTTGTGCTTAAAAAAAAGGGTGTTTATACTTACATTTGGGGACACATGATGGAGAAATATTAAAGAGTGAATTTAATGAATTGTTCCAGGATGTCCTTTCCTCCTTGTCCAGTGCTGTGTATCTTTGTCAAAAAGACACTTTACCATTCTGAACTTTCAGGTTTACTCTTTTATTTGAAACTACAGTGGGTGATCGGTTAACAAACAGTTCAGACTGCGAACAAATCGGATAACAAATACTTTCGTGAAAGATTTTTATGCTCAGACAACAAACACTTCACGTGTTCCGTGAAGTGTTTGTTGTCTGAGCATAAAAATCAGAAGAAAGATGCAACATAAAATAGTGAATACTGATTAGTCTCCTTGTCTCTAGGTGACAATTCGAAACTTTTTGGAAGACATCAACTTCGACTCTCAACCCAATACTGATCGGATAGTATTCCTCCGAATTTTGAAACTCTCCCTTGTAATTCCAGCTTTTTGTTTACCTTTCTGACAAAAAATTTTTTATAGTCTTTGCGAGACTGTCGGATGGATACTTGTTAAGTTTTGTGTCAGTTTATATTTTCAAAAGGTGTGAGTTTAATTGTCATTGGATATTCATTAACGTTTTAACAACAATTTTGAATTTCATTTGGGTCTCACATTTACATAATTTTTTTGTGTGCTAGTTGATTTTTGTTCTCCGAATTTTTGTAAGTGCTTTTCTGAACTTTTTATTTAAAAAAGAAACTGATAATATTATGGATCTAAAAAGGGTGGGGTGTCAAGAACCATACTCACCATAGAAACCAAGCAAAAGATAATAGCCAAGGTAGAGAGTGGATAGGTGTCTGACGTTGCTAGACAGTATGGCTTGAACAGGTTTACAATAGGCACAATCTTAGCTATGAAAGATATATCAAGAAATCTCAAGCAGTTCACGATCTTTTGAAGAAGTGGGAGGATATCAGAACAATGGTCATCCAAACGGACATGCAAACCACAATGAAGTAAATAGGCTTAGGGATCTCTTTAATTACAATGCTATTAATTACTTCCAAAAAATCCTGAAGGAGAGAGAAAAGCAATTGACATTGGACAGATTCTTTAACCCCCATAAACGGAAAAAACATGACTAATAAAAATGCAAGACTGCATATATAGGTATTTTTATTATTACATATAAATAAATGTAATAAGAAAGTATATATTTTTGATTTTTTGGAGTCTCCAGAACAAATTAATCAAATTCCCATAAAAACCTGTGGTTAATCGATAATCAGTTAATGAACAATTCGGATAGCGNTGCAAGACTGTGTATATATGTATTTTTATTATTACATATAAATAAATGTAATAAGAAAGTATATATTTTTGATTTTTTGGAGTCTCCAGAACAAATTAATCAAATTCCCATAAAAACCTGTGGTTAATCGATAATCAGTTAATGAACAATTCGGATAGCGAACAAAGTCTTGGAACAGATTATGTTTGTTAACCAATCACCCACTGTATTTACAAAATATACAGGGTGGGAAAGAAAGTCACTTAACTATAGTTAAGAGACTTTCTATAGTTAAGTGACAAGTTGTGTTAGAATGGTGAACAAAGCAAATACATGCCACTTCTCTAGCGCAACATGTATAGACTTGATTTGATGCAAGTCGGCACAGGTTCTAGTGACCAAAACGAGCTGAAATTTATTGTGCGAATATTTAAGGGTAAAATAAACAAAACTAGGCCATATGCATTAGAAAAAACAAAAAATATTCGAAAAATAAGGGACACCTTAACATGTACTTTATATTTTCATTTTTTCTTTTTCCCTCCTTCATAATTTTCATCCTTTGTTCTATTGTTTATGCTTCCTGGAATGTTCTTATTCAAACTTTATTCCCATATATGGTCAAAAGGAACTTTATGAAATAATATAAGGTTATGCAGCCCAGAGGGCAATAGTGGGAGAGGTGAGCAAGTTGGGATTCGAACCATGGAAGAGACAGACATGAGTGTCAGCTATTCCGGTATGTTTAGGCATCGTGTGGAATAGACGAGAGACATGAGATACCGAGGAGGTGATCATTGAGAAACTATCAGATGATATAAGGAATGAAAATGAGAATATTAGAACTTGGTAATTAATTCTGGAGTGACGATAGCAGAAAACCCCCCTATTTTTTGACTTCAAGGAAAGACTTACACACAAGTGATCATCATAAAGATCTGAATACGGAACATTGAGTACCCATTTCTCTATTTCCTGAATTTGTCATATCTTCTATCTTATTCTGAAGTAATATAATTAGTTATAGGTTTTATTTTAGATTATTCTATGTTATTTTATGCGTATTGTACTATGTGGTCAATGTTGAGAACTCTCGCCAACCCCATAGATCTTTATTGCACAGAACTGATTTGGTGATTTTTTGTATCTAGCATTAATAATTAGTATTAAGTGTGTCATGTGTTGGGATCAAGACTGCCTGGCATCTGATATATGTGAACCTGTATATACTTGTAACAGAACAAATAAAGTTTTCTTGGTTCAAATACAATTTTTAAGTATTAGTGAAAAACTTCATTTTAACAGTTTGCTAAGTAATATTGGAGAATCTTACAGAGGAACATTTCAGGTTGAAGTGACATCCTTCATGAACAGTTGCCAAAATTTTCACAATCCCAAAATTCTGTTAAATGACCCAATAGTTTAAGAAGCCCCAGTCTAGAGCACTCTTACGACTAAGAATCATCTTGGTGGATGCATTATTACCTCTAAATCTTATTAATAGCCTTATAAACAACATGAAGGCTTGTGAGATCTTATATAGCTGTTAGAGGTGATGAAACTCCCTATTAACTCCATCAGAACTGTGCAATTAATTAATTCATTTTTGGACAGTGATGCTTTCAAGAACATGATTCATTATTATGTGTCAATGCCACTGGTTTTTTTTTTATATCATACTATGAATTGTAGAAATATATACCATACCAAATTTCATTAAAATTGATCATGTATTTTTTGTGAAATTCTTAATTTTTATTTTTCAATTTAATTTTTGGGTACTATTATAAATTAAAAAATTTTAAGTATTGGTTGAAAAACTCATTTTTAACATACAATATTAAACCACATGTTAATTATAGAAAGTTAAATTTTTTTTCTTTACAAAATATTTTATTTAGGTTGATTGGATTGTCCTCATTGTATACTAAATGAGAATAAAATCATGAATATTTTTTAATGTTGAATATTTATAATGCTGTGATTGATTTGATTAAAGAGAACTCTTTAATAATTTTATTATTATTATTATTATTATTATTATTATAGGTAGATGGAAGTTCTATATATGGTATATGTTTTGTTGGGTATATAAATCAGTCAGCTCGTGGAGGATTTCTTCTGGTTCCTGTTGCTTTAGCTACTGTAATTGGAATATTTTTTCTATTGAGAGGTATATATTTTCAAATCTTGAGTAATAATGTATTTTTAAATTAGATAATAAATAGTCTTTGGAAAAAAATCAGTTATTTTGCTTGTTAAGTATTTTTAGGATTTTTTTCAAAATTTTCAAAATGTTACAAATGTAAAATATGATTATAAATTTTACGTAAAAAGAATAGAATAATACTGTATTTTTGTGGAATGACTGGCATGCCAATCTGTTCAGGGGAGATCATGAAATCAAATATTTCCATATGGTAAAAACCAGCATGCTGGTTTATCCTGGGGGGTAATGCCAGCATGCCAGTTTAAGTGAGGTTATGCATCCTTCTCTAGAGGGCACATTAAAAAAAAAACGAACAAGTTTTTGTTCTAAAACTGTGAAACTGTCAGCATTACATCAAAAACTTTTTAGTTCATATTTTGTTTGAATAAAATCATGTTGAAATTTCTTTAGATAAAAAGCATATCCAGCATGCTATTTTTATGAATTTTGGAAAGGAAATAATGCAATACAAACAGAAAAAAGTTCATATGTATGGGAAAGATGCAAGCTTCAAATATGCAAATGTGGTTTAAAAAGTTCTGTTCGAGAAATTTAGAACTAACAGATAAGGGGCTGTCCATAAATGATGTCCACACTAGAAGGGAAGAAGGTAGTTACGACAAGTTGGACAAAGTCGGACAAGGCAGAAGGGAGGGGTTGAATTTCAGTAGATATTAAATTTTATACAGTTTATGTAAGTATTTTATTATATTTATTTCAAAATTTTTGTATGTTTCGTTTCTACTTATGGTATCTATTTTTCATAAAGTGATAAAGGTTTTAAGGGGGTTAAGTTTTGTTGGATGTACAAAGAGAAGGGGGTTAATGGTAACTTGGACAAATGGGACAAGAGGGGAGAGGGGAATACAAATTTCGAGAAAAATGCAAACATAATTTATTGACAGCCCCTAAACAATGTATGGGGCATTCAAAATATGTTAACAAAGAAAACTTGGGAGAGATTATTAAAAATTGACATAATAAACACAATATATATATATAACCAAACATACCAAAAATGAAGTGAAAAAAGCACTGGAAACATGTGAGTATAACACAAGAGCAAGAGATGACTTGCGTTTACAGTTTAAGCACATTTTTCAGTGCATGCATAGTTTGAACTGTGGAGCATCGTTTGAAATCTCATGCAATTTTTTGTCAAATTTATCATTCAAGCTCTGATGCATTTGTAGTATGAGGTACCACTGCATTGTGGTCTTAAATATTCCATATCCTTGATAGTTTTCACTTTTATGCTAAGACTTCAATTAGTAGTATTAAAGTATTTGTATTTAATGCTGTTCTCATAAACAACAACTACTACATTGCATATATTTAACAACTATATATTTGGGTTTTTTTTTTTTCGAAATGTTTAAATTTAAATTGTTTATCTAAAAAAATTGTTTTATTCATAATTAATAAAAATAATTGTATTTAATTTCTGTAAATAAGCTTTCTTATTTTTTTGTTTACTAAATTAATAACTTTTTCATTTAATTTCTTTCTCAGGATTAAAAAAAGTAAGTACATAATTTAATAAAATACATACAAATACAGTGAAACCTCGGTATACGACCTTAATCCGTTCCTGGTGTTTGGACTTATACCGAATAGGACGTATACCAAACCAACCTTTCCCATAAGAAGTAATGTAAAAATGATCAACCCGTTCTCATGTAAAAAAAATGGCTGGCTTTAAACACCCCGCTTTCCTGGCTAGTTCCTGCTTATTTTTCATGAGATCAGCATGTATCTTTTTAGCTTCCTCACGAATAATTGCTTCTGATACGCTGTCTCCAGCACTGTTTTTCAGTTATCCAAAACAAAAGCAATTTCTCAACATGATTTAATATCTTCGATATCTGTTTAGAAATTGATTTAACCCCTTTCGCAACGTTAGCAGATTTAATAATGTCTTTATTTTTCACAACTGTCAATATCGTCATTCTCGGAATACGGTATGCATCAGTTAAATCTCGAACACGCATGCCACCTTCATATTTCTCAACAATTTCTTTTTTCAGTTCCATTGTAATTCTAGTAAATTTTTTTAGTTTTCTGTTGCTTTTCACTTGCCTTTTTGCAATTCATGATTAATAAAAATAATAAAATTTTATTTGAAAATTAAAATCAGAAAAAATTTAACAAAGTCATAAACCTTTGCACCGCAAACGTCTAGTTTGGTCTAGTACATCGATAGTGCTACTTGTTCATAGATAATGCATGTAATTAAGTCGTATACCTAACAAAAGTCGTATACCGAGCAAAATTTGTTTTATCCAAACAGGATGTATTCCGAATTGGACGTATTCTAAAGCAGACGTATACCGAGGTACCACTGTAATTAAATTTTGACTAATAATAATAATAATAATAATGTTAAAAAATGTAGATTATTATTAAAATGAATTTTAAAAGAAAAGTTACTTAATAATAATATAAATTTCCTAAGTAATTATATTATTGATAATTAAAAAAAATTAATTCAGATAGATTTATTATTATTTATATTATTCATATATTTTGTATTTTAAGTTAACTATATATAACAAATATTAGTAACTATTAAGTTATAAATATACAAATAGTAATAACTTGATAATATCTAATATTTGTGAATGTCATTTCATATTACTAACTATTTTTGATTTAATAGAAATAAATTGTAATAGTCAAATAGAACAAACAATAATTTAGTAATTAATAAGTTTTAAATTTTCTGAAATTCTTTACTAGTCAGTAAGGAAAAAAGATATTGTAACTTAAATCAAATTTAAATTTAATTGAAACAAATTTAACATATATTTTATTACTGCAATGATATAATATTAAGAATTGTAGAAAAATTAATAAGTTATATTTTAAACTTACCCATTATCAATTGTTAAAATAATCATTTTGTTTGTATTTATTATTACATTTTTAAACAACTGACTATTTAGATACAGTGGAACCTCACTTAACGAGCATCTTGCATAACGAGCAAAACAAATTGTTAAAAAATGACTTGCTTAACAAGCAATGTATCACATAATGAGTGACAAGGAGAGGGGAAGTCCTGGATTGTGCACATGCTCCATCAGTCTATGTTTAGCACTTGTTCCACTAGCATCGTAGTGTTGTTTGTGATCAAACATTTTTCCAAACTTGTGATCACACATATTATGTATAAACGTTGAAAATTATAGCCCATTAAAGAATAAACACCCTAAATGATATGTCAAATTCTTGATCTATGTAAAGGCTATAATTAAATATTAGAAATTGATTAATTTGACTAGAGCTAGGCAGTTATGCTGCTATCTCTTATAAAATTTAATGACCAATTCCAAATTAAATTTTTAAATTGTCCGAATTAAAAATTAATTATTTATAATTATTAAATTTAAATTTCTAGGCAAATTAATTAATTTCTAATATTTATAGCCTTTACATAGCCCAAGAATTTGACATATTGTTCGGCATGTTTATCAGACATATTATCTGTGATTTTTTTTTTTTTCTGCAAATTGAATTTGCATTCCAGGTTCATTCCATGCTAGAAGAAAAGATGATTGATGATTCACGCTCCTTAACAATGTATATTGTATAAATTTATTTGAATAAATGTTATACATAAAATATTTGAGTATTTTTTTTTTGGCATGGAATGCATTATCGTATTTTATATTAATTTACAAGGGTAGTCCCAGAAGTATCCGACCTAATAAAGAAGACAAAAAATTTGGAAAAACATATCTTTATTTCTCAACATAATCCTTTTAGCTCGATACACTTTTCCTGGCAATGTTCAATAGCTTCAAAACCCTGTTTATAGTGAGAATCATCGAGCTTCTCAAAATAGCCATCAACCGCAGACTCCACCTCTTCATTGTTGGCAAATCTTTTACCACCAAGCTATTTTTTCAAGTTTGGAAAGAGAAAATAATCCGAGGGGGCTAAATCTGGCAAATAGGATGTGTGAGGAAACAATTTGAACCTTAACTCATTGATTTTGGCCACTGTGATAACAGATGTGTGTGAACTGTGCATTGTCTTGATGAAACAACACTTTCTTTTTCGGCAAATGCAGCTGTTTTTTCTTGATTTCATCACTCAAGCACTGCAATAAATTCGCATAATACTCACCGTTGATTGTTTTTTGTTTTTGAAGATAATCAATGAAAATTATCCCATGCGCATCTCAAAAAACTGATGCCATGGTCTTGCCAGCAGATGGAATTGTCTTTGCCTTCTTTGGAGCCAATTCTCCCCTTTCAGTCCATTGTTTTGACTGTTTTTTTCATCTCAGGTGTGAAGAGATAGATCCATGTTTCATCCATGGTTATGAATTGACGCAAAAACTCAGCTTTATTGCTGCAAAACATCGCCAAACACTTGATTGAAACATTCTCACGATGCTGTTTTGTTCCATTGTGAGCAAACACGTCACCCATTTTGTGCATAACTTTCTCATGTCCAAATTTTCAGTCAAAATGCAATGTACAGCACTTTTTGAAATGCCTACCATGTCTGCTAGCTCTCGCACTTTGAGTCGACTGTCATCCAATACCATTTTGTGGATTTTTTTCGCCATTTCTGGCATGGTCACCTCATTTGGTCGACCACTGTGATGTTAATCTTGGCAGATCGTACATCCTCATTTAAATTCTGGCACCCAATATTTTATTGTTGTAAACGAGGGAGCATATGTCTCCAGAGTAGAATCTGGCTCAGCTTTAATATTGGTTGTTGAACTGAGATCTTTCAAATGAAAGTATTGTATCACATAAGGAGGACCAATTTTTTCATGTTTACAAATTAACTGAGATTGTTCACTATATTGATGGCTGTCAAACAAATACTAAACAATGTAGCATCTTCCAACTTCAAACTTAAGCTTTATAAGGTTGGTACTTTTGACCACAGTAATTTTTTCAAAAACTATTGCCATCTATATGTCAGGTTAGGTATTTCTGGGATGACCCTCATATATGGGAAAAACTGTTTCGCTTACTGAGTGTTTTGCATTATGAGTAATATTCTGAAATGAATTCTCATTAAGTGAGGTTCCACTGTATATACTTATATATACCTATTTTTACATCATATACAATATATATAATCAATCAACTGAAAACAATACAATTGAAAAATATTCATTTATTACTACTATTAAATGATGAAATAACCATTTGTGTTGTACATAACACATAATAAAAATTTTTTTTTCATTTATATCAGGAAAATATATTTATTAATAAAACAAACAGAAGAATTTACTCTAAATGATATTACTGTATATTGATGCCTTAAAGAGAATTCTACATGTGTTAGCATTTACACAGAAAGATTACATGTGCAGATATTTATAAATTGCTCCTTCTATTGCATGTTTCCCTTATTAATTCTGAATTTTAGACAATTACTAAATGTTAGTTCTAATGTTTTATACCTTTTTGATATCTTTGAAAAATAATTTTATTTATTCTATTATTCTAGTTTTAATATTTTCTTTTTGCCTCCAGAAATTATGCCATTATAAAAATTTAATTTATATATTTTTAATTTTTCTTTCAGCTTTAACTTTGTAAAACTTTACTTCACATTTTTCTTCTGATGTGATCTAGTTGACTAATTTTCTATACAAGATTTCATAACATCACTATTTTTATTAAAAAAATCCATTATAAATTTCAGCCAGTACCAAATAGGTATATTATTAAGAAAATAAATGAATTTAAATTAAATATTGGACCACTAAAAAATTATTATTCATGATTCTTCAGGTTTTCTATTTATAACAGTACTAACTTTTATACCAACTGAATGTTTTATATTAAACATTCTTGATGACACTCTTTTACAGGTCTACTTTATCCCATTCTCAGTTACATTACAAGAAGAAATAAATTTTGTTCAAACACACACACTTGTTAAGAGATGAATTATTTTGAATTTTAAACAAAACTGAAGGTAGATAATATGTTCCAATAATGTTTTTTGGTTAATAACTAGAGATTATTTTATTACAGGTAATCTTACTTTAACAAAATACATTAAAATGTAAGCAGCTTGATAGTTTTTTTAATTCTGTAGAAACATTATGGATATTAATAGATGTAGCATTTAATTAGATGATTAATAGATGTAAACATTGCCATATTTTTCTTGCTTTTGTTTTTAACAGTATTTTATTTCAAATATAAATCAGTCACCTGAGGATGGCCTATGCATTAGGCTGAAAACATTAGTGTCTAAGTAAATAAATGTCTCGGCAGCAAAAGGTATTTAGTGATAATTTTAATAATAATTCTTTCTGCTTAGTGGGTTTGGTTGGTTATAAATGATGTCTAGATATTTAGGAATATGTAAAGGAAAGATTTGCAGGAAACAGGATTTGGTTCTTTAGCCAGTTTTGCCATTGGTTCAAATCCAAGGTTTCCTTCAACATGTATAAATAATTTAGAAATATTGTAGAATACAATCTTAATTTACTGACATTACATTTTATCTGATTTTATTGTAACAATCATAATATAATAAAACCTGTGTAAATCAGAAATGTATGGTATGAATATTTTTCAAGTTTGTCAGGTTTTACTGTATTTTTGTTATAAAGTGGCTGACAAAAAATTAAATGAAAAAACAAACATTAGTCTGTGATTTTTAAAAGATCAAATAATTTATTTAATGTATCATTGTATTCTTTATTTAAAATGCTATTATTTCAATCATGATACAGTTTAAAAACACATATAAGGGGTTTTTTATAAGTTAAATTGTATTTTATGTTTGAACAGAATAGAATAGAATATGTTATGCATAATAAACATTTATTAGGTTTCTTTGTATTTTCAATCCTGTTTACTTCAATATTTAAATAATTAATACAGTAAAGTATATATGAAATGGCAACACCTCTTACAGTAGAACTTTGATTATCCAAATTAATTCATTCTTCAATTGTTCCATATAATCAAAAATTTGGATAAGTGGATTAACATGCAAAGAATGAAATCATAGGGTAACCACACAGTATTGTATATGTATTATTTTTTATTTATTCATCAATGTGCAAGTATCATCTTACTAATCATTTGGATCTGTCACAGCAAATAGGCATCACTGATCATGCACTCATATGACATAAGAGAATTGCAGTGTGGGAGAGAAAGGAGGGCAAGTGATGGTTCAGATAATCTGAGTTCTACTGTACTTCTAAGTCAAATTCAATCGTTTAACAGCATAAAAATGAGTGAGAAAAAACATGGCAATGTTTGTTGATTTTGAAATTTTATAATTAAGATTTTTAATATATTTGATAAAAGAGTCAGTTGTGGCAATATTTTTTAATCCTTAGTGTCAAATTGTTCATAATTGTAATATTTCCATGATTTTACACTTAGTGCTTCTGATGCAATGACATCAGCAATAAAGGCCTATGATGCTTGATGTATCCTCCCAAGGCCCATCACTTTATTTGGAACAAAAGTGTTATGCAAAAATTGTTGCTAAGCACAGAGTACAGCACATCAGTGGTAGAAAGAACTGGTAAAAGCCAAAGGCACAAATGCTCTTTCTTATTCAGTGGCAAGATAGTTTTAATTGTCTACAGAGGACAGAAGTCAATGATAACATTGACATTTTTTCATTATCCCTGCAGACCTCATGCTAGCAGGTGGCTTTTTTTATCACAGTCATCTTTATGAAATCCCTACCACTATACTAAGAAGCCTAAGTTTCAAATGCATGTCAAATTGTTCAGAAGGTAATGAGGACTAATACAAGTGTTTCATCATTCACAGTTTCAAACATTATCTAAGAAATAGTTGCCACTATTTATCAATTGACCCTCATATGTTTTCAAGCTTTCAGTGTGTAAAACTGATGTATACACTTGGTTCTAACAGATTCATATTCGGATTGAGTCATTCATCTGCATTATAGAACCACTGTTGTTTATCTTTATATAAAGAGAAGGTTATTCCTGACAAGCAAAGCAAACTGAATAAATGAACATGTTTGTGTAATTTTAACCTTTCAACAGTGGAATAGTCAGGCATGGTGCTACTCCTTAGTAGTGAGAATAAACGTGTGAAATTTTTAGAGTATTTCTCCACGCATTTTTTCTCATTACTGTTTCGGGAAAAGATTTAGTAAACAGTTATGTCTAATAAAGTCTTTTTTTATTTTTACATAATTCATTTTTTATGTAAATTTTTTTTCGCAGTAGTTTTAGGCAATTTTATAGCTTTTGGCAATACCCACCAAAAGAATTTGACGAATATATTTGTCCTTCACCACTGCCACACGATCACCCTTGATGACTATATTCGTCGCTCACTGCTGAGTGGTTAATAAACTGAGATGTTTAAATAATAATTGCCTTAATGTCATTGTGCAGAGTAAATACAGTAAATATAATATTAGAAGATTATCTACTTTTGAAACAAGTAATTGATTAATTGTCAAGAAACATTTGCTAAAGTTTGGTTTATAATTTTATTTTTTAGGCCTTCTTATATTAATTAAAGTAAAAATAAAAAGTGGAGAAATTATTAAAGACAATATGAATATGAAAATTCAGTACATGATTATCAGAATTGGTAAGTATAATGATACTTTATATCAACATATTTATTTTATATATATATATATATATTTTTAATTTTTTACTTTATCATTAGATTGTTAATAAGATTTGTTTTAAAAAAAGATAAAAGCTTAAATTATTTTCTTAAATCTGTAATTATTAACTTGTAAAATTACAAAAACGACTAATGCAGAAAAAATTTTGAAAGCTTCTAATCACAACACAATTGACAGTTGTGGAGTCAACCTTTCTGTATGTGCTCTCCTCTGCCTATGTATATGCAAACTGTATAAAATTTTTCTTTGTAAAAATAGAAAAATTTTCATTGCTCTATCTATACAATAGATAGCAGATCCATTCTTTGCCAGACAAAAACTTGCAAAAATATTTTTGCTATTTATTTGCAAAAATAATACAGTGCAAGCCTAGCCATTACAATGATCATTACATAAGTAAATCAAACAACAATATCAATTCCTTTATTAGATCATTATTAATATTGCTTCTAAATTTTAATTATCTTATTGGCCAAAATATAAACCAATTTCCAATTTTGGAATCCTTACTTTTAGAAAAAAATCGGATCCTGAAACAAGTTGATCAGTTATTATTAATTTCATTTGTGTGTGAAAAATTAGCAATTTGCATTTAAAAAATTTGGAAAGCCATTGAAACAATTGTTGTCATTGTTATTTACTATTTCACTGTCATCATCATCTGTTTTGTCCAAGTTGTTGGTAACACATTTTATAAAATCCTTTATAATTCTGTCTTCATTAACAATTTTTCATTATTCTAATGTTGTTGTAACTTTTATAAGAATATATGGAATTTTTATTACTTTTTATTGACATGATTGATTATTAAAATTATTCACATTCAATTACATTTCTTTCTTTTCAAAATTTCAAAGTTCAAAAAAAATTTATTTTTAACTAAAGTACTTACAAATGTCTGGAAATCAATCAGCATAAGTAAATTTTCAATTATTTTCTTAGTAATTTTTTATAAATTGCATTTAAGTCATATCTAGTTATCAAAAATTGTACTCAAAGTGTTTGTTTTATAATGTGTGTCTGATGAATATATTTCTCTTTATATGTTTATTAATTTTATTTTCACTAATATCAACAGAAAAGAAGCTAAGGCTGACACACAGTAGTTACTATAATATAGAGCACTATAATGCGATAACATATATAGCAAATGCAATGCAGCATTGAACAAATGAAGCCCCATATACAGCTTATACTGTGCTATAAACTATATGTAATATGTAGTGTATCATTTGTTCAATGCTATATATGGTATAGCATTATAGCACTCAATACTTTAAAGGCTGGTGCACATTACTTGCTATAGAGTGAAATTGAGACAATGAACTGTGATCTGGGTAGTAGGCTTCCTTGCATATTGCATATATATTTCAGAAAGTGTACTTACAATTTAAGAGAACTGAACATGAAACTTTGATTTTTGTTTCAATAGTCATTAATTTTCTTTTTATAACTGTCTAAAGCATATTGAATAAATAAATTTATAATTGGAAATTTACACTTTACAACAGAATAAATTTCATATAAAATTCTCTGCATATGCATATGCTCTGTATTCTATGCACCTAAAATATATATTGGTGAAATTAAACAATCTAGTAGCAAGAGTTGCATAACTTTCCCAGCTGTTATGAGTTTTTATTTTAAAAAACTTTCATATTACACTAGACCCCCTATAACACGGGTTCATATAATACAGATTCATATAACATGGCAAAAAAATTGTGATCGTGCTCATATAAACATGCTAAAAGAGACTCGTATGATACGGTAAAACATCATCGACGACTCATGTCGTGACAGGATTGGTCGAATCTAGACCAATAGTGGATATTGCACAAACCATTGAGTTTAAATGAGCAGCGGACCTACTAAAAACCATTTAACGGCCATAAAAATTATATTTATATTATTGATGTCTCCAAGTTCAGCGAATTTTTCGCAGAAAAATAAGTTATCAGGAAACATGCGCCTGCCGTTCAATGCGCCGCTCCGTGACAAAAACAAGCTTAAGCAATGGCATCATTGCTTAAGCTTGTTTTTGTCACGGACTTGTTTGTTTTTGCTTAAGCACTCAGTAAGTAATCCTACAATTTTTGTTTATAGCATAGTTTATATGGATTATTCCCAAAAAATTATACCTGTTTTGGAAATGTTGAGTCAAATTAGTCTAGAATCGATTAATTTTATGGAAGAAAACCTTTCAAACAGCCATAGTCCCTAAACTGCACATGTGCTGGACTGTGATTGGCTCATGTATTTAAGTGACTTGTAAAACACGGAATTCATATAAAACGGAGCGTATCTACTGTGTTATAGGGGGTCTACTGTATTAAGCAAAAAATAAAATTGTGTGTGGTGTCATCTGTTATCAGGTTTTGTTATAAAACTTTTTATATTTTTAATTACTATAAANTTATTATTATTATTATTATTATTATAGGTAGATGGAAGTTCTATATATGGTATATGTTTTGTTGGGTATATAAATCAGTCAGCTCGTGGAGGATTTCTTCTGGTTCCTGTTGCTTTAGCTACTGTAATTGGAATATTTTTTCTATTGAGAGGTATATATTTTCAAATCTTGAGTAATAATGTATTTTTAAATTAGATAATAAAAAAATCAGTTATTTTGCTGGTTAAGTATTTTTAGGATTTTTTTCAAAATTTTCAAAATGTTACAAATGTAAAATATGATTATAAATTTTACGTAAAAAGAATAGAATAATACTGTATTTTTGTGGAATGACTGGCATGCCAATCTGTTCAGGGGAGATCATGAAATCAAATATTTCCATATGGTAAAAACCAGCATGCTGGTTTATCCTGGGGGGTAATGCCAGCATGCCAGTTTAAGTGAGGTTATGCATCCTTCTCTAGAGGGCACATTAAAAAAAAAACGAACAAGTTTTTATTCTAAAACTGTGAAACTGTCAGCATTACATCAAAAACTTTTTAGTTCATATTTTGTTTGAATAAAATCATGTTGAAATTTCTTTAGATAAAAAGCATATCCAGCATGCTATTTTTATGAATTTTGGAAAGGAAATAATGCAATACAAACAGAAAAAAGTTCATATGTATGGGAAAGATGCAAGCTTCAAATATGTAAATGTGGTTTAAAAAGTTCTGTTTGAGAAATTTAGAACTAACAGATAAGGGGCTGTCCATAAATGATGTCCACACTAGAAGGGAAGAAGGTAGTTACGACAAGTTGGACAAAGTCGGACAAGGCAGAAGGGAGGGGTTGAATTTCAGTAGATATTAAATTTTATACAGTTTATGTAAGTATTTTATTATATTTATTTCAAAATTTTTGTATGTTTCGTTTCTACTTATGGTATCTATTTTTCATAAAGTGATAAAGGTTTTAAGGGGGTTAAGTTTTGTTGGATGTACAAAGAGAAGGGGGTTAATGGTAACTTGGACAAATGGGACAAGAGGGGAGAGGGGAATACAAATTTCGAGAAAAATGCAAACATAATTTATTGACAGCCCCTAAACAATGTATGGGGCATTCAAAATATGTTAACAAAGAAAACTTGGGAGAGATTATTAAAAATTGACATAATAAACACAATATATATATATAACCAAACATACCAAAAATGAAGTGAAAAAAGCACTGGAAACATGTGAGTATAACACAAGAGCAAGAGATGACTTGCGTTTACAGTTTAAGCACATTTTTCAGTGCATGCATAGTTTGAACTGTGGAGCATCGTTTGAAATCTCATGCAATTTTTTGTCAAATTTATCATTCAAGCTCTGATGCATTTGTAGTATGAGGTACCACTGCATTGTGGTCTTAAATATTCCATATCCTTGATAGTTTTCACTTTTATGCTAAGACTTCAATTAGTAGTATTAAAGTATTTGTATTTAATGCTGTTCTCATAAACAACAACTACTACATTGCATATATTTAACAACTATATATTTGGGTTTTTTTTTTTTCGAAATGTTTAAATTTAAATTGTTTATCTAAAAAAATTGTTTTATTCATAATTAATAAAAATAATTGTATTTAATTTCTGTAAATAAGCTTTCTTATTTTTTTGTTTACTAAATTAATAACTTTTTCATTTAATTTCTTTCTCAGGATTAAAAAAAGTAAGTACATAATTTAATAAAATACATACAAATACAGTGAAACCTCGGTATACGACCTTAATCCATTCCTGGTGTTTGGACTTATACCGAATAGGACGTATACCAAACCAACCTTTCCCATAAGAAGTAATGTAAAAATGATTAATCCGTTCTCATG